GATACTTTTGCCTGGTTCATGCCTTTGTCCAAGCACGCGCGTTCACCCGCCATCTTTCAACCATCGTATAATCAAAACATCATCGTGCAAGTATAGTCCGTATCTATGCATCTCCCCCCCCATCTTCGTCATGCGACTCCTCCCCCTTTTACCTACCATATTCCCATTTGAACAACTTTTTTCTTTCTTCTGCCACTCCGGCATTAACCCACTTGAATCCTTTTTTTTTCCTCGCGCGTCTGACGGGCATCAGATACCGGAGCTAACGTTTATTCCTTGTCTTTGCTGCCGGAACAAGCAAAAAAAATAAAGACATACGTCGTGGGCTAACAAGGGTGGGGACCGGGTACGAGTAAACTATGAGTTACGATTTTCTGTTGCGCCTTCCCATTTCGTGGATTGAATGCGTACCGTGGATTCGTGGGACTCTGTGCGCGATGGGGGATCAATGCATCGGAGGGGAGGCTGGTGTGATGCGCTGGTAGTTTTGAGGGATCGAGGATGGGGGTTTATTTTTTTGTTGTTGGGGTGAGAGTGGGGATTGTTTTGGTGAGAGATGGAAGTTTGTATGGGGTTCATTACGATGATGATGGAGAGTTTGAATTTGGATACGTAGCGGTAGTTGATTTTTTCCTTTTTTTCCTTTTTCGGCTTCGTGTTCTGTGTCAATTTTCTTCTTTTTTGGCTTCATTTCCTCATTTCCACTGTTTCTGTTTCAGACGCGGAAAAAAGATATATCTGTGTCTATGCAATAGCTGCGTTGTTTAAACTCTGTTTGCTTGTCCGTTTTGCCCTTGATACACTGCTGTGCGACAATCGAACTCCCTGCCTTTTTTGTACGATTACGAAATTGAGAAGCGGTTTGTTTGCACGCGTAAACTGAAAGAGTGCATTGCATGTTTTTTTTCGCATTTGGTTTAGAGACCGCAGGTTATTTGCAGGGAGTACAGGTTCAAAGGAGGTGTCGGTCGTCAGAGAGTGAGATTCTGTGAAACAATCGCACGCCACAGATACTACTCGTCCAGTCAGATCCTGAGACACAAAAACACTGCTTCTGCTGGTTCACCAGATTCTCACCAGTCGCACTTACCGAGAAAGCATTTCCCTGGGTCTGTTCTGATACTGGTCCGAGAAGGAGTCGAGCAGTCATCGCCGTTCACTTCGGAGTTTTCCGGCAAAACAACTGCCTGCACCAATGTCTTCCGTATCTACAGAGAGAATCCTGAATTCGTTCCCCATGTTCGGTCACACAGGGTGGAGTGCCCTTCAATACGCCGGGACATTCTACGACATCCGTAGCCGCACAAGCACGACGTCAGGCTCGTTCGAGAGCACATCAACATCCTCGATGTACGACGAAAATACACCACCGACCACTGCAGTCACGCAACAGGTTGGGTTCGACCTCTCGCCGCCAATTGTTTTCGAAAATGAGATTAAAACTCAGAAGAGGGGGAAAGGAACTTTTCTCAATCACACTCCAAGGAGTTACGAAACGCAAACGCCTAGGACAATGGATGCACATGGATCGCTAGGGCATTTCCGTGAGAAATACTCCTGCCATAGGATGTTTGGTTGCGCCATGTCAGTTAATGAGAGTACTATATTTGCGAGTCCATGCGGGTATAGTTCTTCGGCAGAGTCGTGTCAGGGAGACTACAAGATTTCTATTCTTCCTGCGACTCCGGTGGAGCTTGATTCGAAAGAGACAGCGTCTCCGTCGTCAAGGGGGGGTCATCTGTTATCAGTAAAGCCAACTCAACGCTCGAGTTCTGTTCCCGTGGCTAGAGCTCTCAAATACGAGCCACGCGTAGCCTTGCCTTCTGGGTATACACGATATGAAGTGGGTGGTTGGAATATGAAGCCGCAAATCGACCATTCTCCGGATAGAAAATACTCAGGTCGCAGAGTATCGTTCAAGGTGACTGCCCCGGGTTCGAGGAGTGCTTCACGACATGCATCATTGGAGCTTCTGAGCACCAAAAACAGGCGGAAGGCTAGCCGCGAAGTTCTTGGTGAACTGCCACAGCAAGAGACCAGACATGTTGGGGATGTGGCTGTTTTTGGAGTGACGCAGGAATATTTGGATAGTCAGGTAGGCGAACCGTTTTCAACCTCGGAGACATTCCATGCATACTCGTCTGATTCGCGAGAGGTTCTTGTTCCTGAATTGCCTAAGCGATCAATTTCTGCACCGGTCAGAAAACAGTACGCGAGCTATGCTGCTGAAGAGTCGGATATGCGCGAGGCGTTACCAGCACTGCTCTATCGAGGTCCAAAGAGCGTCACACCTTCAGGCTTCCCATTCCATATCACTTCTTCTTTGCCGACGGTTGGTGAAGACGGCAGTCTAAACCAAGGACAAGATGCGCTTTCTAGGAAGATCCATATTCAGAACGCCGAAAATAAAGTACGGGAGCCGAAACACCTTCATGTAGGGAAATCAGGCCAGACAGCCCATCCGCCTGTAGGACGACTGGCGCCACCTATCCTCAGCCACGAAGCACTCACCGCAAACGCCAACCTTGGCCTGAACGATCTCAGCTATTACCTCAAACACACCGGACCATCGCCTACAGAGTCTAAGCACCCTAAACTACACCAACGAAAAAGGAGTATCAAGTTCTTTAGAGCGAAGGAGCGGAAAAAACAGGCACCAGCACATGGAGGAGGTTCTCCTCCTCAGGGACTAGCCAAACAGACACCTATCAACCCCGCTTGGGTGCGCGAGATGAAAACTTCGGGGGGTGTAAGACACCTGCGGATAGTGATACCACCGACGGAAAACGAATGCGATATGACGGTCGAACCGGTTCCAGCGCTACCAGTCCAGATTCAACAGCACACACGCCATGTCTCGTCCAACGGCTTCGAGGAAGATACGCTGTGTCCACCTGAGAACTCTGCTGTACATCACGTCCTGTACGGGTCATCCGAAGCAGCAATGCGCTCCTTCTCTGAGCCGCACATGACTTATCAAGAACAAACACAAGCCCGTAAACGGCGAGATTCACAGCACGATAAACGTAAGCTAGTGCCTGATAACTACTACAGCGGGACTATCAAAGGAAAATACCGTGACAGTTTTGTTGACGTGCGCGCATGTACCACGGATGCGTTCCACGACGCTATCATGCATGCGCATCATGATGATGATGAGGGATTTGAGGAAGAGGATTCAGTGCGTAGGACGGAAAGATTGGAGGAACGGGTTATGCTACTGCAGAGACAGAACATGCGGCTTATGGAGGCACTGGCGAAGATTGTGGGCGTGGTGCTGGAACATGATGACTTGGATTGCGAGACGATGATGAGGGCGTCGTTGCGGGCGTAAAAGCCCCGCGAGCTGCGACATGGTTAGAAAGTGAAGTCGGGAATCCGAGAATGTAGTAATGATCTAACGCGATATCTTGAATACGAATCATGTTTCGTACGATAAAGGCAAAGACTCACATCGGGGTTGAATTGCTCTAAATATAGAATTTCTTTTGTGGCTGGGTTTAGTGTTGTGTCCGAGGATAGAAATGATCCGTCGTCATTCGCCTTGTTCAGGGCAATGCCAAGCCTCACCGCCAATCCTATCGATAAGCCAACCACGCCCGTTACTTCCTCGCCCTGTTCTCCCATCTTCGCTGCGGAAGAGATTCTGTACTCATCTGAGCTTGTAGAATCTTGTTGACACTTCAATCGCGATTTGATATACACAAACCTTTGCCATCCCAAGGCAACGCATATAAACAATCTCCGAAATCACCGCCAATTCACACCGACACATACAACCACCACGATGTCTGCAGCAGGAGAAGGCCCGCTCTTTAGCACCGATCTTATATCCCCCGAAGTGCTCAAGGCACTACCAGAAGGCTACAATTGCCGACCCCTCGAGCGAAAGGACTACGCAAATGGGTTCCTGGATGTACTACGTGTACTCACTACTGTTGGTGACATAACTGAAGAGGTAAGTATCATGTATTCTCATTTTACAAAATGCAGCAAACAAGGAAATGAGCCACTCTCGCTTTATAATTCACTATATCTAATACGTATTCTCCAGCAATGGAACAAACGCTATGACTGGATGTCCGCCCGCAACGATGAATACTTCCTCCTCTGCATCACCGACTCGTCCAACGCCATTGTCGGCACCGGCGCCCTTATCGTCGAGCGCAAATTTATCCACCAACTTGGTCTCGTCGGACACATTGAGGACATTGCGGTTGCAAAGGACCAGCAGGGCAAGAAGCTCGGACTGAGAATCATCCAGGCGCTGGATTTCGTCGCGGAGAAGGTTGGGTGCTACAAGACGATTCTGGATTGCTCAGAGGCGAATGAAGGTTTCTATGTCAAGTGTGGGTTTAAGAGGGCAGGGCTTGAGATGGCGCATTACTATGGCAGGTGAAAAGTTAAAAAAAGCAACATGTGATGGGATTTCGATAGGGCGCGTCTTGTTATCTGCGTTCATTTGACGAGTATGGGTTAGCATTAGACGGTATGCTGTGCATGGACATGTATAGAGAGACGTGATAGATTATGTTCGGTTCTGTCAAGCTCTCTGCAAGTTTTCTTTACAGCAATGCAAGGCAAGAGGACAAAATACATGGGGCATACAGCATCATTAAAACGATTTTTAGGACCCCCACTCGAAACAACGACTATAACAAAAGTTGTCAAAATACGTTTGCTAAAAAGATCCCACAACGCTGATTTTGAAGTTGTGTTATGTTGGACATGTTTTGGCTGTATTCGCGCCAGGAAGTGAGTGGAGGGGCTAATGTCCAATTTGATCGCTTCGATGCTTACTCACAAACACCATCTTTACAACAACAATCTTGCGTGACAATCGTTTGATTAGCTGCCATGTTTTTATCAGCAAACTTTCTCTCTCCGGATAGATAGTTTGAAAACCATATCTTGACAGTTATCCACAAGTCATATACGTTATAGGATTAAGGAAAAAAAACGTCACTGCAAGCCAGAAAGAGATAGTACTGCAAGGAGTCATGGCGCATGAAAAGTCCCAAATCCCGGATCACGAGAGCGGAACACAAGAAAATCAAGAAAAAGAGACGCCACCAGCAACGCAATTAACAACAGCAGTACCATGTGTGTCTCCACTAGATATCCTAGGCGACAAATTTGCACCCTACAATACTACCTCATGGCCCAAGATCCCCTCCGGGCTCCCTCCTGATCTCTGGACCCCCATACAATGCGCACCCGCCAACTTCGCACCCGAACACTTCCTATCCGTGTGCCATAATCTACTCGAAAACCCCAATCTCACCGCCTCGCATCTTTCACGTGCAGAGCTCTCGTACACCAGCTTCACCGACGCAACATTCAACCCGCAGGCAGAGACGCCCGAGGAACTCGCTAGCATCATTAAGCACCTGCGCTCTGAATGTAGGCCACGCCTGATTCAAGGTGGACTGCCAGGATACACGCTTGACTACACAGTCGTGCGGAAATTGGTGCCTCGGAACCCCAAGTTGGACGATGCACTTATGCAGACCTGCCATTTGTTTGTTTCGGAGGAGGATGTTACTGTTGCTGCTGCGAATGAGGAAAGAGAAGAGACTGTCAAGGCAAGAAGATATATGGTCATCTACATCCCGCACGTAGACGACACCGACAATGGTGCTGAAGCAATTCCGTACTACCACCCCAAAGTCCGCGCTTTGGCAATCCTGTACACGTATTTTCCTACTGGGCTTGATACAGCATCTGGCCTGGATTCGCCGGGCTTGCTATCCGTCTACTACAATCTTTTCCCCCAGGTGCCACTGGACAATCGGCTCGAACGCACAGCACTCAAACTCGCAGAGATAATACACAAGCATGCACGCGGGCGACAGGCAGGCTACAAGAAACGTGTACATCATGATCTGATAATTGGACAAAAAAGATTCCAGGATACGTATGCATACCTCAAGGGCAAATACGCAAAAGATCTCATCACCGCATGGAGCGAGCAAACACCACCCGAAAAACACGTCTTCGAGGATCTAGGCATCGCCGCCTTTCTCGAAGAACTCTGGGTAGACATGTACGGCGGCGAAGCCAACCCCCAAGCACCCGACGACGACGAATCCAAATCCCAAAGAAAAAAAACCGCACAATCAAACTTCCCCGGCTTCGTAGACATAGGCTGCGGCAACGGCCTCCTCGTCTCCATTCTAACCACCCAAGGCTGGTCTGGCTGGGGTTTCGACGCGCGCCGCAGAAAATCCTGGGATACATTTCCTACATCGCACGGTGAGAAACTAAAGGAGATGCTACTCGTACCAGCCATCATCCAACCCTCTCCTTCTCTCTCACCCATCACCCCCGAAACCCCTTCGTCTGCGACAACGACACCTCACCACAACGGCATCTTTCCCCCACAAACCTTCATAATCAGTAACCACGCCGACGAGCTGACACCCTGGACCCCTCTCCTCGCATATCTGAACTCCTCGCCTTTCATCGCTATACCATGTTGCAGTCATGATCTAGGCGGCACACGGTTTCGCGCGCCCGTACATGCTAAACACCTCGTCGCAGACCCAGCGACTGAGAAGGCGAAGAAGAAGAACAAACAGCCGTCTGCGTATGCAAGTCTGTGCTCGTGGGTATGTCATTTGGCGGAGGAAACGGGGTTTAAGGTTGAGAAAGAGTATTTGAGGATTCCTAGTACGAGGAATGTGGCAGTGGTGGGGAGGAGGAGGAGGAGGCAGGTAGCAGATCAAGATGGGGATGCGCAAGGCGGAGATTTAGGGATCGAGGAAAGACTAAGGTTCTCAAGGGAATTGGTTGAAAAGGAAATGGGTGGCTTGAGTGTTGAGCAGGTAGGAAGTATGTGGATGAAGAGTGGAGATGGGTTGCTGAAGCCAGGAAAAGGCGGACATTGAAGAGACCGATTGCAATAACTCTTCCCCCAAAATGATCATGGAACAACTTGTAACAACAAAAAACAATTGAAGAATCACCGAAGCGTATGGGGTATCATTGAGAACACGGTCATCTAAGACTGCGACATCGCAACTCAGACAAGCGATCCATTCGTAGTATCATCCGGTCATTTCGCCGTATCCGAACCCATTTTGTTATGCAGTAAAGCCCGACATGAAGATGAAACGATATCTAGCCCTACTCCGAAAAGCCTTCTCAACTGCTTTAAGAAGCAGGAGCAGCACCACGGCCACGTCCGAATCCACCACGGAACTCGGGCTTGAACTCGCCGGGAGCACCGCCCTCACCCTTCTCGCCCTGGTCACGGCGGCGGTACTCGCCGCGGTCACCGCCACGGCCACCACGGCCTCCTCCACGGCGCTCACGGTCATCACCGCCGAGCATGCCTCGGGGAGGAGCAGAGCGCTGCTGCTTGATGTGGGTCTGGGGAACAATCTCGGCGGGGAGGTGGAGCCATTCACGGAGGTAGTCGAGACCCTCGGGGGTGAGGGTGTAGTAGTAGTATTGCCATGAGAAGCGGGTCTTGAGGTAACCGCGGGAGGTCAAAGACTGGCCTGTTGACTGTTAGGAACCAACATGGGGTTGCGGTGTAGCACATGTTACTAACAAGCTTTCTGTCTAGAGTTAGCAAATCAATTACATCTCAACATAGAGAAATAATACGCACGATGACGAAAAGGTTCTTGGTGTCAATCTCTCCGTGCTTGGGGAGGTTGAAGTCCTTCTTTGCGACCAGTACGCCCTCTGTGGTGACCGTGTGTCAGCCTATCCTTGTAATGTGCAGCAAAGCCGCCAAAATGTATAATTGTGCCATAGCCATGGCTCGAGTACGCGGGGATACTAACCTCGGAAGAGGTACCTGTGAAATAATTGTTAGCCACCTGATTCAATTGAATATATCGAGTGGCCAAGGGAAGCTCAGGAATCAAGTCGGAATATTTCATGCGAAACTCAGAGCTCGACTGCGCGAGTTCCCAGGACAGTTGCGGAGGTGAACTAACTCGTGGATCGCCTTGCGGTCGGCCTTGGGGATGAGCATCTTGACGGTTTGCGAAAAGACTCGGGGATGCTTGGACTGGTTGGTGAGGTCGATGAGTAGAAGTTCGCCGGACGTAGGCATTTCGACGGAAGGGTGCGCGACTAATCTAAGCGAGGCGCTATGACCACCATGCCAAGTCGCGCGTCTAGGTCTTTAGTACCGTGCCTGCTTCAATACCAATCCAACCTTCACACCACGTACGCACGCACGGAAACACCAGCATACAGCAATAACAACATCCAACCTGCACCTGAATAATTGGAAAAGCGAAAAAACACGGACAGACTCCACTCCGACTCACAACTCCCCACCCTCAACAACCCGTCATTATGGAAGTCGCCACCGAGTCGCCCGTCACGGTTATCGTCAACAGCATCCGCGGTCAAAACATCGCCTTTGCTACCGAGAAGAATGCGCCTCTCAGCTCCATCTATGAAACGCTCTACAAACGCGCACCATGGATTCAGAACTCATCTTACATCCTCACCACAAACTCGCGCCGCTCAGTCTGCCATGACGAAGCCCCCGTCTCATCACTACTCTCTTCGCCAGCCGACACGTTTCTGTCGCTACGCCTGACTGTACCTCTATGCGGTGGAAAGGGTGGTTTCGGATCCATCTTGCGCGCTCAAGGTGGCCGCATGTCATCGCGCAAGAAGAAGCAGGGTGACGTGAACGGATCTTCTCGTAATCTGGACGGACGGCGTCTGCGGACAGTCACCGAAGCCAAGGCGCTTGCCGAATATCTAGCCATCAAGCCTGAGATGGAGCAGAGAGAAAAGGAAGAGCGTCGAAAGAAGTTGGAAGACATTGTTGCCAGCACCGAGCGCAAGCAGGAAGAGCTGCAACACAGCAGGGGCACAGCACGTTTAGATGGACAGTGGGTGGAGAACAAAGAGGAGGCCGAAAACAAGACCCGCGAGGCCATCGAGAAGATGCTCATGGCTCAGAGAGAGAGCTCAGAAGAGGAAGATGAAGCAGAGACTCAACCAGCCGCTTCAGCATCAAAGCCTGTTCAGCAACGGACCATGTTTGGTTGGGACGACGAAGATGATGAGTTCATGAGTGACAGTGAAGACGACGACGTCTCTGAAGAGGATGCGAAGCCCGTAATCGAGGGCAAAGGAAAAGCTAGGGCGGTCTAAGTTCCTTCCAGTTTGGCTGTATCATTTGACGCGATTGGAGTTGTTAGTGCATAAAACGGCGTTTGGGAATTGTGCTCTTTTTTTTTTGTAGATACCCAATATTTTATCATTCTCAGTTCATGACTCTGAAGTTTCTGCTCTAGTTTCCGCTCACGAGCACTCTATACACAATGACCAATGCCTCATTGAACTTGTTGTAAGGTTGGTTCGATATTACTTTTTTTTTTGATAAACCTGGGCTCTGCCTAGCCACATTGGTCACGTCCAGGACCAATCATCCAGATGAGAATTACAATTCGCTCTACCAAATATGGTTATCGTCCAGATATCAAGCATGTGCGCCAATGGTTGTTGAAGTGTTTCAACGTATGACTGTTATCTCCATCAGATACTCGGCATTGGCCGACGGGCAACAAGTATCCCATAAAGCGGCATGATACCGGATTATTGTTATCGGCTCTCCGACCCGCCCTTCCCCACATCCAGGGCGCCTATCATGCCATCTCGTTCCTTCACACGCCAACTCCCATTAGCGGCGTCGCAATGTCTTCCTTTACTCTCAATTCTCCCTCTTCCTTGACGCAAAATGGCTTCCCTGGCTAACAGAGCCCCTATTGCTCTTCGTAACGCGTGCAGATGCTACCCCGCTCTGAGCACACGACCGAGTGTAATAGCGAGAGTGGGGCACGAACATGCGAGGAGCTTTAGCAATTCGCCAAGATGGCAGATCAAAACGAGGGAGATGACTGATGACATGATGAGGGAAATCAATGTCAACCAAGCAAGATTGATGGATGATATTCACCACAGCTGTCAATGGGGTATAGGCGAGCGGTGGGGAAAGTGAGTATTCAGGAACATCTACGGCTCATTGCAAACTGACAGTTGTAGTAAGCCGACAGAAACTGGAATGAGTCGGCTCGCACTCTCCGATGCTGACAAGGCTGCACGTGACTGGTTTGTCCGGACGACAAAAGAGTTGGGTTGTGAAGTCACTATCGATAATATGGGCAACATATTCGCAGTCCGACCAGGGCTGAGGAAAGATAAGCCCCCAACGTTTGTCGGAAGCCATCTCGATACTCAACCAACTGGTGGACGATATGACGGTATTCTCGGAGTCACTGCCGGTATTGAGATGTTGAGAGTGTTTGCAGAAAATCGGATTGAGACGGAGTATCCCGTTGGCGTAGTGAATTGGACGAATGAAGAAGGCGCTCGATTCCCAATGTCTATGGTTTCAAGTGGAGTGTGGGCTGGATCTATACCACTAGAGACTGCGCACAGCCTTCGTGAAGTACATCCAGGCACGGCAACCATGAAGTCTGAACTCAAACGCATCGGTTACCTAGGAGACATACCAGCTAGTTATGAAGCCACGCCTATGGCGGCGCACTTTGAGCTACATATCGAGCAGGGTCCGCTGCTGGAGATGGCAAGAAAGAAGATTGGTGTGGTCACGTCAGTTCAAGCGTACAAGTGGTTCACGATCAAAGTCAAGGGGCGAGATACGCACACTGGAACTACAGATCTCAAGTCACGCGCAGATGCTTTGTTGGCGACGAGCAAAATGATACTGCACTCCCACCGTCTGGCCACTGCGAACGACACACTAGCATCAACAGGCATATTGAACCTGAAGCCCGGCTCTACGAACACAGTCCCGGGAGAAGTCACTTTTAGCCTGGATATCCGTTCTCCAAAGGACGAAATGGTCCAGAAGATGAAGGAGTTGATCCTTCGCGACTTTCCTAAGATTGCTGCAGGCGAAGATGTGGGAGCTTCCAATTATGGCTGTACACCTGGCCTACCGCTCACCGTGGAAATCATGGAGGACTTTGACAGCCCAGCGACGAAATTCCACGCCGAATGCATCGCCTCTGTACGCCAATCTGCGCACAGCATTGTCGGGTCTCATGCATCAATGGAAATGACATCTGGTGCTGGACACGATAGCGTGTATGCAAGTAAGCGTTGTCCGACGAGCATGATCTTCGTACCATGCAGGGAAGGTGTGAGTCACAACCCCCGGGAATTTTGCGAGGAGGAAGACTGCGCTTTGGGTACACAAGTCTTATTACAGAGTGTCATGAGATTTGATCGCATGAGAGACTGGCAAAGAATATCTTGGAAACAAGAGCCGTTCGTTCTGTAATCTCCGATGCCACTCTTTGTAGAATAAGAGGGGTTCGATGAGTACGAGCACTAGACTGTTATATGTCCATTGGTTGGCTAATTCCACTCTTAAACGAATTAGAGATTCTTACTCTCGATACATAATTCAGTTGTATCTTACTACATAGTAAGCTCTACTTGTACTATATACCTACAGAGGGCCACTATACGCCAATGAGCTTAGCACCAACTCGACCGGGCGCTGCAACACATTACGGGTCCGTATGAGCTCTTCCAAACTTTCATGAAGCCCCTTGTCAGCCAGACATGTACCCCACCTATCTTCTCATCTGACTTCGGCCCTTTTGCTTATGCGAACATTGTCATGGTCGCTTCTTATACGTACTAGCGCCCTGGTGTCAAGTAATCACCACAGGATGCGGTTATCTGCGAGGCCCTCTCGAAACCTCGAGTGCTACCCGCGCAAGTTTTCCAAAAAAAAAAAAGAAAGTCTAGGGTTTTGCAACTAGTCAGTTCGCACTCTGTGAACGGAACAACACTAGTATTTAGGCTGTGCGCAAGGACTAGACTTGATAGAAATGAGCTAATAAACAACCAGATGTGCTTGGCAAGCTTTACAAGACGATGTACCAACCCTCGGTACTTGTACTCCAAGGTTCCTGGGCATCCCCTGAAACCAGGGTCTATCGTGGCTATGGCAAAGATAGTTGACAACGCTGGGACAAAGCAAGGCTTCCGGTTTCGTACCCGACGGCTGCCTGGGCCTGGTTCGCCGGTAGCCCTCGGGCTAGATACAGTTTGTCCTCTGCGCCATCATGCAACAGTGTCACGAATACAGATAGCTTTATTGGTGGCGGCGGGCTGGCCCAATGTGGGACAACCATGTGCCTGCATACAGGCGAGGCTGAGGCGCCCGTTCAGCTCGAGTACAGGGGTAGCCGAAAGGCAGACACAACACCTGTGTGTGCTGCGGCCCCTCGCCTCACAATCATATACGATACATGAAAACTAGGTCTCGCATTGCTCATCGCCTGCCGCAATGTTCCCGAAGTTTGGTATCTTGTTTTTGCTCCTAGCAGGACTGGCTCTTGCAAGAGATATTCCACAGGTACCAGTGCAGACACTCACATCACCTACACTAGCACCAGCGAGCGCAATCACCCCCGCCCCACTTGCACACGAGGATGTTTTCAAAAGAGCGATCGGAACATGTGGTTTTATTCGTGGTGACTCAGGTATTTACAGTCTTCCATTAAACCTGTGCCTAGCAGCCAGCAACTCACACCCGAGACAGCGTCGCCTGTGACTTGCGGAGCAGGATACAACTGCGTCACAACCATCAGAGCTCAATTCGCATTCGCATGTTGCAACAACATAGAATGCATAAACGATTGGAGCATTTGTCGTCCGTTTGGCCAAACAGACTGCATGGGCAACAATCTTCCTGACGATACCTGCTCACGGATCTATGGGTCGATACTCCAATGGTTAGTTTACTTTCCAGCACATCCTTTTGCTATCGCTAAAGACATGAACCAGTTCGGAAGCAGCGCCCTACTGCGTTACCTACGCGCGTAGTTCTACTCTCAGCGATTCAACCACTTTTATCTCGTTGACATGCGGGACAACATCGGAAGACGTTCTGCTCCTTGCGACGGTGACAAATGGCGCAAAGCAAACTGCATCTGGCACACCCGCCCAGGAAACCGAGAATGCAGATCCCCTTGCCGGCTTCCCATCCATCCCAGATTTGTCGCCGACCGGAACAACGTCTACTCGCAATACCCCTGCGCCTACTGGTTCAAGTTCAGACGGACCCGCACTGAGCACCAGGTCGATCGTCATAATCTCTGTGGTTGGCGCTGTGGTACTTCTGTTGGCCGTGGCAATTGGATGGTGTTGCTGGTGCAGGAGGATAAAGGAATGGTGGCGCAACAGAAGACAGCGCAATGCACTTGCGATTGATCCGGCCAGGATACCGCAAGCGCATTATCAACCAACTAACTATCAGCCCACTAATTATCAGCCCACTGAATCGGGAATAAATTTGTGGAGGAATGCAACACCGCTTGGCGCGAGCCCTGATGTTGCTGCGTCTGTGAATGGAAGTGTTTACGGTGGAAGAAGCGTGAACGGGGCGGCACCGAGGCCGATGATGACGGTGAATGAGAGGTAGGGTCGGTCACTGCGTAACGAGACATGCTATGTAGCGAGATACCTCTTTTCTAGACTTTCAGATTCTTTGTAACGTATATACCGGAGGCTCAGTTGTATTTTCTAAAGAGTAGGTTTGAATACATGGCCGGGGTGTTGGATTCGCTGATACGACTACTAGCAAGGAAGGTAGCCTGCCACTAGTTTAGCTCACAGCCAAGAGTCTGTCGACGTTTGAATCAACACAATTTGCTTCATCTAGAACACCTCAAAAACTACTAAGAAAATACGGGCATACAGAGGTCGCAAAGGTGACCATTATTTCGCTCGCCTTGTCCCTTGATTGAATGGCAGAAGCCCCTTTCGCTCTCTCACAAACTCATCCTCGCCTCCTCGCCATGATCTCGCAGCAGTTTATGGAAGGCAGCGCTCAACAGCAGCGACGCCATGACCGCCCATGTACCCAGACCTGTGATCACATCCTTTGTATCCTGTTTCGATGCCCAACCTGCAGCCAACGCGCCGAGGACCCCGCATGCGACTATTCCGAGCTGATATCTGTCCCTTTTGTGGATGTGGTATAAGACGTTGATCGCGGTGCTGTAGACTAAGCAGGCGCATACAAAATGAACTGGACCGGGCTCTGGAATGATTGCTAGGTGACGGTGCGGTTGCTGTTCAAATGTTATCCCAGTCCTGATTACCTCTTGGAGTATACTGACTGATTGTCTAGACTCGCTGGACCCCTTCTCGTGGCTGAAGAGCGACTCTAACACAAAGTTGGGTACCATCCTCGACGACCACCGCTGCTCGGCTCTTGATTGTTGTGCCATTACCGCACGTTGGTATTCACTCATGACCAAGCTGGCCGCTGTTGATGCACCAACCGCAACACATTCTGTGGCCCAACTCGTCCAATCGTTGAGCCTTGTGGGGGGTTTCTGTAGAATATATGTTGACTGTCTTCCATGAAGTTCCGATCTGGAGCTGTGTCAGTCTTCATTGCCAGTCAGGCTGTCGGAGCAAAGGTACTACGTTTTCTTCATCTTGTCGACACTGAGGACGAGCGATGTAGGAATATGACGCTTGTGTCGATTCAGATATGTTCGGTAGGAGTATGGTAGTAGGTATGATATCGGAGATGGTTGATGGAAATAGAAGTCCAGCTGAGGGGTATGCCCAGCGCCAAGCTCCGTATATGCGTTGGCTGCACTGTCTCGACGCCTTTCCTTTGAGCTTACACTGTGTACGAAATCCACTTCATCACACATCGAGTTCGTAGTCAAAGAAACCCAATACACTGTCCAACGTGTGTGGCAGCAGCAAATCTCTCCCCAAAGCCTCCTTGCCCAAGCAAGATCCGCCCGCAAGGCTCTCAAGTCAGGGTCATCAGCTCGCCGCCATGCGTAAGTGAGCCACCTTTGGCCTTTGGCCTCAACACGAGCTGATAGTTTTCCCTGTGTTCAGATATATCAGGGCAACTCGCATCCGAACAGGCAGGTGATGGTAGCATGAACTACAATCCGGTCACTCCCCACGCATCCCCAGTGCCGAAAGCTCCCCCTTGCAACTCTAAGGTCGATTTGGAAGCGGAAAAGACCCCACCGCCTGGTTTCCCAAAGTCGCTTGGCGAACGTCTTGAATCTTCCGATACCGATCCTTATGCTTTCCTAAAGTCCTTCGACACCATCTTCCTCATTGATGAAAGCGGATCAATGGCTGGCCGCTCATGGAAAGAGACCAGGAAGGCTTTGAAGGAATTCACTCCGATCTGCACCCAGTATGACGGAGATGGCATCGACCTCTACTTCTTGAACCACATCAACTCCTCACCCTACAAGAACATCACTTCTACCCGAACTGTAGTCGAGAACTCTCAGACCGTCGGCTCCAGTGGTGCAAGGCCAACGGGCGAGTATCTCCAGGAGATCCTCAAGCCCTACCTCCATCGCTATGAGATAGCCCCTAAATCCATCAAGCCAATCAACAACATCGTCATCACTGATGGTGAGCCAACCGACGATGGGGAGGCTCCCATCATCCCGGCAGCGAAGAAGCTGGGTGAGATAGAAGCGCCCGCATGGCAAGGGGGCACCCAGTTCTTCCAGGCTGACAAGAAGGAGTATGTGCGTGTGGCCTTCAATCAGATGACTGGTGGACTTGCGAAACTCCCTGGCCACGAGAAGATTCTCATGCCCTACCTGCAGAAAGTATCATCGACGCGATACAGAGCATTCCCCGATACAGCCCCGAAAGACTGTGGCCGCTCCCGTACGAGATCCCGCGCCCAATCCCCCCGTGTCAACCCCGCAGCACTCACTTTCCTCACTTTATTTGCCCAGCTGCCGATCATTCAAGCTGCCCCTCAACACATATCAACAGCGTGGGGCATACCGATCTTCAATACGCTCAGCGCAGGAACAGGCATGGCGATCTCAACCTTTAACGACGAGGCAAACACCAATCCCGTCTTGTTCTGGGTTGTATACGGATCCTGGATTGCATCAGCGGTAACGGTCGTCGGGTTCACTACCTCTTCCATCAAGAAGGGCTCTCGATTGCGATATTTATGTACCTTTGTCCTCGTAGAATTCATCCTCCTGACCATGATCGCACTTTCGTCAATTAGTGACCAGGGGTTCGAAACAAAGACTCTAAAGGAGTGGATGCCTTTGTCAACGATCATTATTGCAGGTGGTTTGACGGCGGGGTTTAAGAGGGTGGCCTGATTGTTATGTTGAAAGCAATACGAGACGACTGAAAGGTCGCGTGAATGATTTTGATATTTTTGCATTTATAGCGTTTTCTTTTGTATAAGTCTTTTACACACTTTCGACTATCAAAACTAACAACCATAGTAGAACTTGAATTACAATGGTTTTAAACAAATTGCCTTTGCTAAACCTCCGTCGTGATTGACCTGATTATTAGCCGATTGTGTTTCTAGAAACTATCCACTCCATGCGATGGCTCCAGAGACATCTAAGCACACCCCTGTATCCAACAGTTGCTAGAGCTTCTTAGTCTAGTATATAGAGTTTTGTAGACGAAGGGGCTGTAGTATGGAGATAATTATATAGCTAGTAAAACTGTTTATAGTAAAACAGCTCAACTCTAAAGACCAAAACGAAAAGGTATCTCGTTATACCATTTATCTTGCTAGGCATTGACTGATGTAATTGAGGTTCTGTTGTATATTGTTGCTAGCGTCTAATCTTTCCATGAACTACTACGTGAATTTCGATTTGCCTTCCTTGTCTTCCATAGCATATGAGAACTCATTAAACGATAGGCAGAAAGCATCTTGACGAAAGCTCACAAAACATCTCCTACTGCACCCAACCCGTCACACCTTCGCCAACCACATATCCCTCGTAGCCTTCAACCTCTTGGTCTGATCCGTCTTAAACGCCACAGTCCAATGCTCCCTCTTCTTAATCAATCCCGGAAAGTCGCATTTAACCCGATCATCCCCACCCTTCGATAACCCAATCTCATTTACGAAATTCCACTTGCGGCAACACAGTTGCCGGCACTGGCACGCCACCCACTTATCAAACCGCTTCAGTTTCTCGCGCTGATCCACATCGACTTCCTTCTTCGACAGCTCGAGAATTATCTCGACGTGCAGCATGTATAGCACTGCCATGACGAACGGCTTGCGGTGCGTGGACTCGCGCACGTTGCGCTTGTCGCGCAGGAGGCGCGACCAGGTTTCTGCGATGTGGCTGGGAGAGGGAGAGGGGTTTGGTCCGAATTGTTTGAGGAAAGATTCCACTACGAACAAGTATATCAGCTTGAACTAAAGGAAGAAGAAGAAGAAAAAAACAGAAGAATCTGGGATGGGGGTTGGCTACGTACGCGTTACTTTCCCATCAATGGGGTTACAATCTTGAAATATGAGTTCATACACGTAGTACGAATCTAGGGTGAGATGTTGCCAATACGACTGCGCCTCTGGATTCATGTACATTGGTCCCTTGTACAGTGAGTAGAATCGCTTTGTCTCTGGAGACCTTAAATGCGGCTGCGGCACTGCGGGCGTTCGATGAATATCTATCATGGCGTTTTGCGTCAGCAAGTCTGAGCTCTCTAACTCAAAGGGACTGCTACGGATGTTGAGACGGTTCTTTTTCAAGAGAAGTCGTCAATGACAGTTAGGATCAACATACTTTGCTCGTTTCCTGCAGCGGCTACCCAGCGGCGTACCATGTTCTTTGTTTCAGGGTCATTGCCATAGGCTTCGGAGCGCGAGGCGATAATATTTTTCTTGCTTGCTTCGTCAAGGAGGACTTCAGAGAGATCCGGAGGGTTGAGGCGGAAGTAGCCGTCTCGATCTGCGAGCTCTTGGTGCATTTCGTAGAATTTGTTTGCTGTTTTTTGGGTCTCCGAGGCGATTTGTATAATGCTTTTTGCGACTTCGGTGATGCTCTTTCCAAAGTCTTGGAGTGCTGGTCTTCCTGTGCCGATTGAAACGAGTATGCGGATTTGGTTGTCGAACGGGATTTCAGGCTTGCCGAGTTGTTCTTTTGCCTCGAGATAAATTTCTTCGATGGGGTTGTTGTGGCCGAGACCTGCGTCGACGAAGCAACGCGGTTCGCCAGCGTGATTGATCTTCATCGGCGCGAAGAACGACGTTGCTGCAGAAGTTGCCCGGGCGACTTCCCATATTCGGACCTCATTATAGAAGTTCGAATGTTCACCGTCCTTTTTATAGTCCGTGAAGCGTATTGGTATTGCGCTTTCTGCTGTGAGAGCAATCACGACGCTGTTATTGAGTCAGGGAGTTAGGTAGGTATTATTGATCGGTTTATTCTTACGTCTTGCAGGCTGACCTCTTTGCTCCTCGAAAGCGATCATCTGATGTCCCCCCAGCATTGGTGACGACCTGCTTGATGGCCTGTTCCAATTCTTCGGTCTTATATCGCGGCTGGACTTTACCATTGCGTACTTTGAAAGGCAGTGTTTTCTTGTATTTTGGATCGAAAACAACGTCCATTAGGCGAATATATGCTTCAATACACTGATCAACTGTCATTTCAAGTCGTCCTAGCATGATGGCAATTAAGCCTCCTGTACTCGTGCCGCAGATCATGTCGAAGTAGTCGCATGGTTTTGGACTCCCAACAAAGGACAATATCTTTCTCAGCATGTAAAGTGAGGCCAAACCACGTACGCCTCCTCCGTCCAAACTGAGAAGCCGAAGACTGCCAGCCATCTTTGCTGGGCAGTCAAGTGTGCCGGTAGTATTACGATGTAACTGGGTATGTACCGGGAAGTGACAAAGGATTACAGAGATACAAGGGGTTAGCTTCACGGACAAAAATGAGAGGTATTTCGAAAAGACATCAAAAGCCCTGTCAGCAGCATCAACAAGACCATAAGTCATTGATCGCTCGCTACCTTATCATAAAGTGCAGCCTTCAGCACAGCCTGAGGTTCGAGACTCAGCTCACAGCCAGTGGTGAAAAACAAGTTAGCTCTGGACGAGCATGGCGTGACTACTACCGAACTGGATAGCAAATGGCTGCTAGTTAGACAGGGCTAATGCTGTGGCTTTTCTTGGCAGCTGAACAATCAAACATCCCACGTTGCAACGGATTCAGCCTTGCGAGAAGTATGGAAAAACAAGTTTCTTTTCCACTACTACAACGAAAAATTGCTGGCAGAGTAGCACATGGCGTCTCTGAGGAGTTTGCTGCCTAGCCCTCGAGTTTAGCCATCAGCCTTGCCCTTACATTTCCCCCCAGTTCTTCCAGTGTCTCGCACATTTCAATGCCATACCTCTGGCAAACTATCTGCACATTTCCTCTCTTCCAGAAACCTTCCGGACAACAAACTACTGCCTTCCCAGTGCCCGCATAGAGACCCAGCTCCAGCAATGTGATCGCTTGCAACACTTTGGGTTCGCCTGCAAAGTAGAAAACGATGACGTCCGCTATGCGTGCATGATCCATCTCCCACTCGACCTGCTCCTTGAAGGGTTGGAAAGAGATATCTTCGACCCAGCTGCTATCCCAGGCGTCGCAACACGGGTTTAGGATAGCGACAGGAAGGTCGGATAGTGAAGCTGTGAGATATCCTTGCCAATCTTTGGCTGGATCAGATTGAATGGCACCGTAGAGGATGACAGATGGTCTGTCTACATCTTTTCTAAGGGGAGGTTTGTGCACGACGGCTTTTGTTGGAGTAGATTGTGACATGGTTTGGAGATGTAGATGGACTTGGGGAGCGGCGCGGACACGGGCCTTACCGTGCTACGTACCCCGCCCCGCCATGTGGTTTTACCCCTAAAGTGTTCGTGCTAGCACGGGCCTCAAGCTGAAGAACTTGAAGCTGTACTGAGGCGCTATCTCCCACGAAACGAATATGTCGAATTAGTAACCTTTGGCTTCATCCTCCGACATAGAGCAAGGTTGCGGATGGCCGGTGGGGTTGGGCGAGTTTAACACCTCCTGCCAAGTGCGTCCAAGCCAAGCGGAATGTAGTTGTGATGTCACATGCAATTCACACGTACATACAGCAACTTCTTCACTATCAGATATCTCATTTCTTGCTCAGTCCTTTGATTCGATTTACTAATTTGACTTACTAGGCATTTCTCGAAAATGCTTCTCCAACAACGACAAGACACGGGAGGATTCCGTGTTCGCTGTGAATTTCCCACTGACACCTGCATTAGTTCGTATCCAGCCGCCCTCAAAACGAAGCGGGCCATTCTACTCATAGCCGAATGACGATCCAACCGGACTTCTGACCTTTACCTAAAGGACAGTATCGGCCACCTGCCAGAGATCACATCAGTACACGTAGCGAGCCTGAACTAGTACATCAGAAAAGCGTTAGTTGATCGACCATTGATCGACACTGCGTGAGCGCTGCTGTCAATTCGGCTTCGTATTCTGCATGTAAAACCAGACAAAGTAAAACATCTTCACGGAAGAATGGAAATGACTCAGGCACATCGCGCGAAGCTTCCAAATCGTTTTGACAAATGAAGTCGTTTTCACCCATCGCTACGTATCTAATCCTTTTGCTTTTCAGGATAACCAACATGCCATCACTGCGACCAGATTATGCAATCATTGTGTTATCATGTTTGCCGCATGTAAGGTTCAAAGAAGCGGAGAAAAGGCCAGACCTTATGGAAACTTATAAATTCCACAACTTTATCGGGGCGCGTAGTAGCTCATGTCAGCAAGAACCCAACGTTGATTACCTGCCAACATTCTTGGCAGATCGGACAAAGTTCGTACGAGTCTACAGGCTGGGCTGCTTTTTGCCCTGTTGCAGAAGTACCGGACGACGATCCTCCTTCCACGGGAGGAAAAAAGAAAAAAAGAAAGCAAGTCGAGGCGACGACCGTCGCTTAGTACAAGTCTCAGCCCTGAATACGACGATCTTGTTTTGCAAATGTGGTGGGAAGCTTGGACAAGTGACATGCCCGAACCCCTGGTCCCCTCCGGGTGACCCGGGGCTACAGTTGGATCATCGCGCTACGAAGGCAGATCACACCTCGCGCTTCGGTCAATCCCCGGCGTGTCGCTACAAACCCTATGGAATCTCCGAAGTCAGCATTGCTATGGTCTCTTTGGGTGCAATGCTCGAGATCACGTCATTCGTCCAATGATGAGAGAAAGCCAGTCTTTACGTGGGAGAATTCGAAAAAAAGCATCGTAGCTGTGGTATTTTTTGGCGATCGTGAGAGCATCGTAATGCGCGCGTAACCGAGTAGCAAATTGGTACTGTACAAATCATGATATGAATTTCATGCAAAATCACCAACTCAAACCTCTGATACTCGGGCGCGACCACCTGTCCAAGCCTTGTTATCGCGAGGATTGGGTTGATTGGGGACTGGGATGCCTTCGTAAGTGACTTCGACAGTCCGCTCGTACAGTATGGCTTCTTCGCTGTCACTGTCTTTGCATGGGCGTGAACCGACTTGTATCTTTGATTCTCGCGTTTGCGTGGACTGTTGAGCCTTGACTCCGGAAAGGGGGATCTCGTCATCGCGCTTGTCGCCATCGATAGTGTTCATAAGGGTATCGTACTGGCGCTTCGGACCGCTCTTGGAGCTCTTCCATGAGTGTAACATGCGGTTTTGGCCGGACGAACCTTTCCCTGAAGATCCACGAGAGCTCTCGCCGATCATGTGCGGTGCAACGTGTCTGAAGAATCGTCGCAAGGTGGGTAGGGAACAGCAGACGATGAAGAGGTTTGCCTCGACAATGCTTGAGATAGTGTTAGACAATGGAATGGATATGGGGCAGTTTCATCTGATAGCAACAGTGTACTTACATCCATACACATCCCACAGCAATGACCCATGTTTGATCAGGATTTGTCAGTGCTGGTATCAGGACAACCAAGCGGATGATTGAAGTGACCATAGTTCTTTACAGTGTCAGCTTGTTCTCGTACGTTCATCACTCTAGGACTGTACGCACATTGATCCAATGCCGAAGATAACGGTCAGCCCAATCTTTTGCTTTCTAGGCATTTGTAGGCGCCAGATGGTTGGGATCGGGATGGCGATTAGTATCACGTCAGTGACAACACCAATGACAGCGGTTGCGATATAGATTGCTCCTCGGTTGATGCAGACTCCTATCGGAAACAACAGCGGATCCCAGCTAGCCGCTATCGGCTTGCAAGCAAACACCAGACTGAAGAAGATGCCTGTGTATGCGCCAGCGCATATGAATACGGTGGTCCAAACCGCGATTTGGTAGCCTCGCAGTGGCGACAAACGACTGTAGAAAATACACAATGTGATTTTGGTCAGGGCACAGCAAGGGGCGTATACCAGGGGGGCGGCCAGAATCAACTGTGGTTTGGCAATGTCAGCAAAGTTCAGATATGGTAGCAGAACCAGGCAGTCCTCACTTACTCTTGAGTAATAGCCGTATTGGCTGATTGAGATTTCCCAAGCATGTATGCCGATGACTCCTGAAGCGAAGCCTCGAATCAACAAGGCTTGTGTTGCAACGGACAACATCCAGGCAAGAATAACGAACACTGCTTGTAGTTAGTATCTTGCCAAGGTCAAAGTGTATCTGGATAGGGTACCATCATCAATCTGGAATTGCTTCATCAGACGAAGCTTTGTGTAAAGTCGTTGTGCGAGGAAAATGAATGCCAAAATGTTCTCAACGATGAAGAGTGCATATGCTTCCGCCATCAACCTCCTTTGGGGGTTGGCAAAGTCGACCACATATCCCTCGGGAGGAGGGAGTATCGTCATGACCCCATTTACATTTGCCATGATGTAGCAAGGACTAAGAAATGGAAAATTTGATGGACATGAATTTGCGAGCTCTTGAGGTGGAGAGCCACTCGTTTATGATTTGAGAGATACAGGAGATGAGCGTGAACCCGTGGTCCTCTCAAGTCAATCTATATGGGGAAATGGCTGTGCCCATCCTATTGGAGTGACTACTCGGAGTCTCGCAAGGGAAATTTGCACGGATGCCCGAGACACACGCGGAATGGAGTAGTGGGCACGTTGCATAATCCATGGCAATCGCACCGAATTAACCTTGACATCGACTAGTCTTATTGACGAAAGCTATTGCGAAACCAGGCGAGGTGCGAGAATGCGTGACATTTGGACTGCTCTGACCACCGGTCTAATCTCGTCATTCTTACTATGGAGACTGAGACCCGCAAAATGGGTCATGAACTGTTGTGAGACAGAATCTCAGTCCGATTCCTGACACGATCATGCTCAGTGATGGAGTAGGAGAGGCCAAGCAGTGCAACACACAATGATCGTACTCAATGCGCGCGATCTCCGTGAGTCCATTGCAGCCCAAGGATCGCGGGACGTTTTCAAGTGCAGGCTCCCGGGCCCTGGTCTTAGTTCCCTTCCTCGCCTATACATAAGGTTGATACTCGGGGACTAGGGGCTTGGAATGACATGTGTTCGTCCGGCCGACACGTGCGGTGAAGACATACTTTACTACATACTTACTGACACAAGCCTACGCCTCTTGGCGGGTCATGCCGGAGCTAGGAAGCCAGCCCCATCCAAACGGACCGTTATTCGGACCGGTTTGTGGAGGCAAAGCGGATCTCGACAGGGCTAGCTTGACCCTCGACCCATCATCACCGACAATCATTGACATTTCCATCAGAGGCCAATAATCTCCAGACCAACTTGCGGCTCTAGTTCGTCCAGGGGAGCCGTCAGAGCTGCCTTCCACCAGCCGCTGCAGGAAAAAATTGTCGGCCACTAGACCTTCTGTAGCGGCGCAACATGAGTAGTTCCTGTGTAAGGATGCTGGATATGCAGTTCCTACAATGGCTTGCCGTCGCGTGGCGTCATCCGCAGTGTAGTCTGCTCATTTTCCAGAGTCATTAATACGCCTGCGTCGTCCTAACCCAGCGTTACGGTTCGACATCCTCGTCCTTCAACGCGCCAAGTCCCATCCGTTGTTACACCATGAAGAACGTTACTCCAACGTTGGTTGCCCTCATGGGCCTGTATGAGGAGGTCGGAGCTGCTGCTGCACGGCCCTTGGGGCTAAAGAAAACTGTTTCAGTAACCATGGCCACCGATCCTTCGACTTGCGTGAGTTCAATCACCTTTCTACTACCTTACCGTCACCATGGGTCAAAGTCAAAGTACCACTAACGCTATCCAACAGTGTGCAGCCCTGAGAACTGCTAACCTGACTCACATCTACATGCAAGATGATCAGCAATACAAGGACCGGACGGATTCCTACTGGTCTGTCAGTGCTCAGCTGCATCCAAAGTGCATCGTCCAGCCCGTCTCTACAGCAGAGGTGGCTACCGCCATCAAGGTCTTGGGTGCTGACCCAGGATGCACCTTTGCTACTCGAAGCGGTGGTCACACCACCTGGGCCGGCTCTAACAATATCGACAATGGAGTAACGATTGACCTTGGTCTCATGAACCAGACCACCTATGACGAGGTCAACAGCCTTGCAAAGATCCAGCCTGGCATCAGGTGGGGAGGCGTCTATGGAGCCCTTGAACCCTATGGAGTCACTGTTGCTGGTGGTCGTGCCAGCACTGTCGGTGTTGCTGGATTCCTGACTGGAGGAGGCAACACCTTCTTCACTGCTCAGCGCGGTTGGGGCTGTGATCAAGTTAAGAACTTCGAGGTTGTTCTCTCCAGCGGGTGAGTGCAATTAGCCCCTACATCTCATATTTGTGTTGACCCGACATAGTGAAGTTGTAAATGCAAATGCCACGTCCAACTCCGACCTATTCCTTGCTCTCAAGGGTGGATCTTCCAATTTTGGTATCGTCACTCGCTTCGACATGGAGACCTTCAAGCAGGGTAATCTCTGGGGTGGTACCATGTCGTATTCGAAGAATTATACTCAGGCGCAAATTGACGCCTACACCGCTTGGGTTGACAATGTCGAAAACTACCCTGAAGGCTCCAGCATCATCTTCTGGAGCTACCTCCCCACTGTTAAAGATGTTGTTATTCTTGCTGCGTATGAAGATACAGCCGGCAATGTAGCCCCTGCAGGATTCGACAAGTTTTTGGCTATCCCATCTCAGTCCTCTACCATGAGGCTGGCTACCCAAAAGAGCCTCACCGACGAGCTTGAGCAAGCCGCTGGGTACCGGTACGTTGAGAAACTGACTAACAAAAGGGCCTGTACTGACTGCTTCAAGCGATATCTGGTTCACCATGAACTTCAAGAATAACCCCACGATCTTCAAGCACATCGTTGATGGTCACGAAAAGTTTGTCAACGAGTGGAAGGCCACTAGTTCTGACCCAGACTTCATCACGCAGTGCATGTTCCAGGCCATTCCTACTGTCTTTGCAAAGCACAGCGCGGAGCGAGGTGGCAACGTTCTCGGTATTGAGCACATTGGTGCAAACTCAATCATGCTCTTGTTCAACATTGCTGTCAAGGGTGCTGAAACCGAGGTTGCTGCTCGTGCGCTGCTGAGGAAATATACCGAAGAATTCCAGACGTTTGCCGCTAGCCAGGGAGGCGCAGTTGACTGGCAGTACCTCAACTATGCCGATTCCTACCAGGTACATAGAACCCCCCTTTCCGATATAATGACTCGGAACATTCGACTAACATGCATGAACAGAACCCACTTGCTGGCTTCGGCGCTGATAACGTTGCCAAGATCCGTGCGGCGGCAAAGAAGTACGATCCAGTTGGCATGTTCCAAACCCAGTCTCCTGGAGGCTTCAAGATCTCCAAGGTCAACGGAACACCTCGTCGCGAGCTGTAAGCGACAGGAGGCTCAACTTGAATTGATATCCACCATCGTTGTCTATATAAAACGAAATATCCATAATTTTCTCGGAGAAAAAAAAACTCCCCCATACCCACACTTAAAATCTCCGTCCCAATAGCCCCATGAATCGGAACCCGCAAGGCTTATACATCAAGTAGCGATCGTCAGGTCTTAACAATTTCATTTGTATAATTGAAAATCCCCTAGTACAACGATAACCCCCCACATCCTTGCCTGTCTCCCCTGCCAACAACGAAAGCAGTATCTTACGCGTCCCCCCCCAACCCGCACTAAGCCAAGAGAAGCCCTCATAGCCGTTCCCCGTTCCCGGGAGAGCAGAAAAGGAAATAAAAGAAGCACCTCACGCGTTCTCTCAAACGCCACCCCAAAAGTTACAATTCCGGCCCAATAGGAGGAGAAGAAAAAATATCCGACCAACGCACATACCCCTCGCCCAAGTTTCCCCGCTTCCACATAACTTACCCTCAACCCCCCCTCCTGCGCTGCTCCCCTTCCAACACCTCGCCTCGAATTCCCCGCCCTATCAAAGCAAAACCCGTCCGCCCGGCACATACTACTTGCTCCTATGCTTGCCGATGCCCATGTCCGCTTTTTTTTAACACTAGGGATTCTGATACCTAATCGGCAATCTGCGCCGTTATCCGCCTTCTTCATACTACTTACGCATGCAAAAGAGGCACTAAACGGGTGGACCTTTTCTCTGGTCCCACCTTGAACTAGTCGTTACATGAAACATGATGGTGCTCGCGGAGTGTAAGAAGGTGAGGCGTAGAAGAGGTCAGGATAGACTAGTTGGCTGGCTGAGCCCAACCACTCCCAAGCGTCACCGTTCTGCGTCGTTGCGGATGGCAGCATGTGCTGGATGCTGTGCTAAGCGCGGCGCGGGATGGAGTGGACGCGATATCTTGTGTAGGCAGGATACCTTGTGTGACATGAGAGAGTTTACAGTGTAGCGCCTATACCAAGACTACCAAGGGATTACATGTCGGAAGAGGGGGTGTATTCGCGCAGGGGAGGAGACGTATCCGAGGGAGATTACGAGGACGCAAGGTAGGCTGTGCTAATCGACTTTCTTCCCAGGAGGAAAGGGGATCGATGTATCTTGGCAGACCGAAGATACTGGGATAGAAATACCAGCTATTCAAAAAAAGATCAAGGCTGCCTGCGTGCGAACTAGTGTCCTCTTCACAACAGGTTGAAAAAATGCTTAGCTTGTTTTTGTGGAAGTAATAGATTCTTTTACATGTAGATCGACGTACTACAAGAAAAAAAAAACGTCGCATCTCTCTACAATGCCACTCTACAACTAGACTTTATCTACGTTCCCTCTCTCTCTTGCCGTGTATTGCTTTTTTTTCTCCGAGTATTTCGGTCCACCCGAGAAGGCAAGGGTCCCGTGGTTATTGGTGAGAAGTTCTAGAACGTTTATCTTACACAGTAAGCGTATCTGGGACATATTACCGTCAGCTCCATGCGACAGGATATGTAAGGGTGGTAGTTGGCAGAATATTGAATCGTAGATTTGTTTATTTTGTATGGCAGAAGGCGTCTGCTTGCCGTAGTAACTGTTTGAAAAAAGCCTTCTCACGTTCTTCTGCTGAGGATGTTTTGAATTAGTCTGTGTTGGTTTAGAAAAAACAGAATGTATAAGTTATCAAAGATGTCTTTCCGGTACTCCCAGAAAGCTTCGTGAACACATAGAACAGAATTGGAAGTCATAATACTAACAGCTCGGTCAGTAGTGTTGATATAATTCTCAAGCCTGTTGTATATTATTGAGATTTAATAATAGCAACGCCTCCAAGAGGGATCAGGGATCATAGGTTGTAATGCTTACGACGAGAATCGCCGACGTGGCACACGCCTGAAATTTCTTGGCCAAGATATAACCGGAAGATCCGACGCTACCAGTGTCCTCGCCTGTCTTTCTCTGTAACGTTGAAGCTTACGTGGTCTTCTGGTGAGTTGGAGGTTGAGGCGAAGCATGGCGAGTTTAAGTGTTTGAGTGTTTGTGGAAAGCATTGCTCAAAATGCATCTACAAACGTCTGAAACGCAGGGATCAAACTTCACTACAGAAGGCTCTGGATCTGAGCACTAGTGAAATGTCTCGAATAGTTTCGCTAATTCAATTATCCGCTCAAGGCACTGGCCACTTTCAAACTCGAATCTTTTCAAACAACTATTACAAACAATTAAAAAAAACATACTTTCTAAGCAAGCATTGACTTCGTCTAGTCTTCATAGACATACCGAACATCCCTTCCCCTAAAACACGCCATTCGTTTCGGCGAGAGATGATTACGGAATTCAATCTGATATCATTGTATTTACTGTACAAAAGAAATGGCCATTATGACTGTCGTCCATCTTCTTGTCCACTTCTATCCTGTTCATCACCACCCTCCTCTTTCCACTTACTGCGTAGCCATTTCAATTTGAACCAATCGCTCAATGCATCTTGGCTTCTATTCTCCGAGGTATATGCCCAACTCCTTCTTGCTCGGGACGCATCGGGCAAGTCTGCATCTGATAAATCGCCATCATCTGGGTCGGGATGATAGAGTAACGGCGAAGACGAAGCAGGATCGGCCGGTCTCTTCCCTTGAGATACGCTTCTGGTCTGCCGGGTAAGGCCTTCAAACCAAGATCTCCGGCGCATCTGGTTGAGCCAGGCGGATTGCGCCTTGTTTCGTCGTGGCTGTAACGTGCCTGATCTTGGCCTATGATCAAGATCCACAGATCGGATTGCAGGTGAAGGTAAAGTCTCGCGGTCGTTGAGCTCATCCCATATTTCGTGCGTTTCCTCTGAAATAGTCAAGCGTCGTCTTCGTGAAGGCTTGTGAGGACGTGGATTAGCCTGGGCTGCGTGCAGGGCTGCAGTATCCAGTGACAATCGCTTTTTGGGATTGGACAGGGGCCGAGCAGGACCAGCCGGTGCTCGGGCTAGCAGTGGTGTTGTTTCGTCGATAGATTTACGTTTGGTGTGCGCGGAGAAGTAGCCACGGTCTCCTCCAGCTTCCTCGTCGGTGAGCATTGGTGATGCCGGGTCGTCGAGAATATGAGTATGCGATATGCCGATACCAGGTTGAAGTACCGTCTTGGGCATGGGAATCCTGCCCACCTTGACCGCTATTGGCGACCTTGGTTCTTCCTCATTGTCCTCGAGGCGCCAGCTCAAGCAGACAACGCCTGCAAGAAGGACCACTGTACCGAGTGCGATCAATCCAGCGTGGAGACTTGACAGCCGGTCGCTCTGGTCAAAGTATATCAATCCATCTACAATGGCAATGATGTTATAGACACAAAAGACCAAAGGATAGAGGACACTGGTGCTACACAACTTGAGTCCGCAGTGCATGTAATAGAGCTGCGTCAGGGCGAATGCAACTAAGCCAATCAGGATCATCCAAGACTGCCAACGATTAAACTCATTGTGGCGATCCACGATTGTGCGGACCAACAGCTCAACGGCGCTCTTGGCGACAAGTAGCGAATGCGCAGAGAGAATGCCACTGACGCATCCAAAGGCCATTCCTCGTATCAGGCGTAGTCTGGGAGTGGTGCGGGGATAAATGCGCTTGAGGACCCAGGTGGCGGTAACCAAGATGACCACAGCAACGCCCGTCATGCTCATCCAAATGAGAAAGTTGGTTCGTCCCAGTAAAACCAACAACTGGTCCAGATTATGTGACGGCTCGGCAATGGCGCCGAAGAGGGCTATCAACAATGCGCCGACAGCGACGAGTAGAGTGCCAGCGAGTGAGTAGCGCGTGAAGGGCTCGCTCAGGATAATGGAGGCGCATATGGAGTTGAAGACGAGGCCGGAAGCCTGGAGAGTGGAGAGGACGGGGAGGGGGAGGGTGGTGATTTGGATGGTGCTGCCGACAATGTTTGCCACGAGGAACATGAGCATGCCCAACTATCCTGGGTTAGCAAAGTAGTTTTGTGTGCGTGCGCGAGGAGGATGCATGCCTGCCATCTCCGCCGCCTGTAGGGTGGCCGTCTTTCGTCATCGTCGTCTTTTTCTTCCTCGAGGAGATGCGACTTGCGCTGGAGTGTAAGGCCGACACTCTGGATGCTGGTCGAGGCCAGGCCGACGATTACTCCCAGCTACGGAGAGGGGTTAGTTAGTCAGCAGGTCTAAATTTCTGGCGCAAGACTCACAGCAACGCTCGCGCCTGGCGACATTCCGACCATGACTGTGTCTGTTGGCTGCTGTCGGTGACTGCACCTGTGCTACCTGAGGCAGTGGCGCATGCTGTGCGGGCGGAGGACGAGGAATGGGGGACGAAGAACAACAAGAGAGTGGGAGAGCGCAGCTAGCGGTGGCAGCGTAGACGTGGACGTGGTCGCGAAACGTGACGCTGTCGAGTCGGTGAAGTTGGGGGGTAGAGGGCTAGCCGGTGGGTGTGGCAGGGGTCAGCCGACTGATGATGTATGTAGAGAAGTGGGTTAGGAAGCTGGCGCGACGAGGCGTGTGTGTGTGTGTGTGTGTGTGCACCGAACGACAGCTGGGCAAAAGATACAGGCGCAGTAAGTGACATATAAGAAATGCGTGCTGGCGCGACAAGGGACTGGATCGAACGCGCGACGGCGTCACAGTCAGTGGGAGACGCGCTGTGGCTACGCGTGTGGCGGTTGTGGCTAGTGGTGTGGCTAGTGGGGGCGGGCAGCATCTGGGGCTGCTATCGCCAATTGGTGGGCCCAGCGCATGCACCTCGAGCAGCTTGTCCAAGCTCCGTCACTGCCCATACCGCCCGACGACTCCAACTCCATCGCCAGATCCCACGCCCACGTACCCCTCCACCACCACCGACGAACCCCCCACCGCCGTCGCCATCATGTCGCAAGTCCACGCCCTCTCCGACGACCAGGTATGATGCCCGCCGCAGCTCCAGGCAGCTCCAGAGCTCCCCACCTACGTCAACACCACTCCATGCTAACAAGCCTCCCATGGCAGGTCGCCGGCGAGCTCAAGAAGATGACGGCCTTTATCCGTCAGGAGGCCATGGAAAAGGCGAATGAGATTCGTCTCAAGGCCGACGAGGAGTTCGCCATTGAAAAGTCCAAGCTAGTGCGCCAGGAGCAGGCCTCCATCGACGCCTCGTACGAGAAGAAGTTCAAGCAGGCCAGCATGTCGCAGCAAATCACCCGCTCCACCGTCTCCAACAAGAGCCGATTACGCATTCTGTCCGCCCGCCAGGAGCTGCTCAACCGATTGTTCGAGGACGCCGAGAAGAAGCTGGCGGATATTTCCAAGGATAAGACCAAGTACCAGTCTATCCTCAAGAACCTTATTCTCGAGGGCGCATATGCCCTGAACGAGGACAAGTTGCAGGTCAAGGTGCGCAAGGCAGACATTGATCTGACCAAGAAGGCCATCGAAGAGGCTCAGACCGAGTTCAAGAAGAACCTGAGCAAGGACGTTGCCATTACCATTGACGAGAGCGACCCGCTGCCCGAGGGATCGTAAGTTGACATGTCCAATTCATCCGGGTTTATGACTAACTCTGTCGAAACAGTGCTGGCGGTGCCATTATTGTCGGTACAAACGGCAAGATCGACATCAACAACACCTTCCAAGAACGACTCAAGCTACTCGAATCCCAGGCACTTCCATCTATCAGGGTCACGCTCTTTGGCGAGAACGAGAACAGAAAGTTCCACGACTAAGTTCCTTTTTGCACGGCGACCCGGGGGATTTTAATCATCATGACCATGGCATTTCCTCACACATATAATGTCGGAATACAGGGAACATGTGCGTTTGTACCATGCGCTTGGCACACAAGTGACTTTTGCCGAGTAAACTCTACACATGTGGAGAAAGAGAGGAAGAGGTATTCTGTACATTACTCCAAGCAAGATATAGCGAGTCAACTTTGCACATTTACCGTATATGCGGTAGTTCGGAGCATCGTCTCTGGACATTGCTTACTATTTATTTGATTACTGTTACAAGCAATTGAACTATGTCGTTAAATCGTATACATGCAGAAAAGAAAAAGGGTATATGTACGTCCATCATCAAGTCGCATAAGTACTGGTCGCCGCCCAGAAATACTGTACCAAAGCCTCAGTCGCGAAGATGTCCGCGATATCAATTCCTCAACGGCCAATCTGTCGTCTCGCCATTCCATCCCCTCTCAACTTTCACCCCTTGCCTCAACCCCACATTCTCCTCTTCATCCTGCTTTTGCTCATAGTATCCGCCGTACCCTCCACCCGTATAATAATACTCTGGCCCATAATCCTCCAAATACGCGTCCAACGACATCGAAGAAAAGCTCGACACCGCGAAACCAGACGAACTACTTCCCGTCCCACTATACTGCGCTGCCGCGTTGGGAACCGCCAGTGTAGGGCGGTGAACCGATGCATCCCTCGCATCGTTTACTGACACCTCCTCCATCAGACTCGGTGTGGGGACGGGTTTCCGCGGTATACTACTCCTCCTCCCCACCTCTCTATTTCCACCGCCAAAACTCCGTTTCCGATGCGCATACCGCCCCAGCACCGGCGATTCTACCTCAGCCGCTCCAACACCCTCCCCGGGCTCCCTCATCTCAGCCACAGAATGCAAACTCGACCCGCTAATCCTCCTCCCTCTTGCCCGATTCGAAGAGTGGCTGTGACACAGCGCCGGCGCCACCATGGGCGTATGTGTATCTTCCCTCCCAACCATTGCGGGAGTTTCAGGATAGTTGTCATACATGTCTGATGGGTCGTCCCAGGGGTAGTCTTCGGTACCCCGCGTGTAATGATGGGTTAGTGGCAAGGTGGCGCTGTCCGAGGGACCTTGTTGGAAGGAGAAGCGCGGGATGAAGCCGGGTGAGGAGGGGGGTTGACTTCCTTCGAGTGTTCTCTTGCGGTGGCGGCGGAGGAGGAAGAAAGAGAGGAGGAGGAGGGAGATGGAGAGGAAGCCTAGAGGGAGGGCGAGACCGAGTGCGAGCTTTTGGCGGGAGGTGAGGCCGGAGGAGGTGGTGGGTGGAGCAGGGGGTTCGGAGGGTGTGCTGGTTGGGGTTGCGGAGGAGGGAGACGAAGTGGAGATTGTGGGTGTTGATGAGGAGGAGAAAGATGAGCTGGCGGTAGGAGAAGTCGAAGTCGATGAGGATGACGGCTCAGACGAAGACGAGGATGGTCGAGTCGTAGTCTGGCTCGATACTGCAGTTGTACTTCCTCCACTCTCACTCTCCAGCCTAGACGATGTAGACGCTGTTGCAGTCGTACTCGTCACCCATCCCTCCGTCTGCGTAACCACACTCTGCTCCGTCCTGGTCACAGAAGCCGGTACACTGGTCGGCACACTCCCACTTTCCGGTGGCGCCGCCGTCACAGGCCCAAACACATCAATAAGGTACCTCTGCACCTCGACCGGCAACTCTCGAAACCACTGCGGTCGATTATTGTCCAGGAACTCAGTCCAGAGTATACTCGATACAGCAGGCACGTTTGTAGCAGCGACTTGGCGGAGTGATTGGGGGAGCGCGGTGATGAGGATGTTGACAAATTCGATACTACTCGTCCTGTTAGCAAACCATTTCCATGAATCTATGGAAATTTTAATGTGTGTGCGTGGGAGAGGAATAGGGAGTGTTCTTACGCATCAATATCCTGTCTCCCTTGCAATCGTGGTGCAGCCGTGATGTCAGGCGGCGCTGGCATCACGGCTCCATCAACGACTGTGTTTCCAACAACAAGAAGAGGATAGAACCATCTTCGTAGCGAGCGCATGTATGTGATGTAGCGAATGTCGTATCGCACACGAAAAAAAAGGAAAAGAAATAAGAAGAAAAGAGAAATTCCCGACTAATGCTTCATAACCAATACTTTGTTCAACTCAACCCTGTGTAAAAGCATATATGTTTCAAATCATTCAAGTCGAACAGGAAAAAAAAGAAGACCAGAAAAGCATGTTGCGTATGCGTACCCCAACAACTATTTCAAACCCCCCCAAGCCCCATCTCTCCTCATACCCATCTTTCTTTTTTTAGGCCTAACAAGCTCCCCGCCAGCCTCCTCCCCCAGGCACACACTGATGCGATTCGTCCCAACACATCAAGGCTGTGGCGAAACATGGCTTCATACTCACGTAAACTTGCCTAACACAGCCCCCCAAGCTTGATCGGCCCCCTCTCTCCGCCACAACGCCACCCGCCCACCATCCTTCCTCTCCACATAATATAACCCGCTACCTGCAGAGTTCGGCAGCAAAAGGTCTTGTCTAGATTATTCGATGGAACACATGACCCGTTGGAAATCCATTGCTATACCGAAACATCCCTGGCTATTATATTGACTACCTGGTGGGACGAAGAGATATTCGTAGTGGAGCGGGGGTGGCAATTGGGGCGGAGGAGCTAAGCCTGATTGAGTAAATTTGGATAGCGGTGCACATAGCCGCGTTAGCTAGCTATTCTAGCTTGACATTAGTAGTAGTAGCTTTCTAACGCTAAGATTGAGCTACCAACGACTACAGATTGATGGGTTTAGACTCGAGGCTGCATTTCTAGTTGCGAGCGCTGTTGGAATTAACAGCATGCTTTATACCTTGCTGCTAATATAGTAGTAGTAAGGAAGCTTGTATGAATGTTAAGGGTGTTGTCTACCTCGAATGTCGTAACATGGAACGTGGTGGTGAAGTCTTTTTGTCGGGCCCTTTTGCTATGCTGTGCAACTTTCAAATCCGAATGTTATTAGAGATGCTGATACAACGGGTGCCGAGTTGAGGTAGAAGGTATTAGACTTTTATCTCGGTTAACTCAATGCGCACCAAAGTTGGTGTTATCTGTCTTAATGGTGTTGATGTTCTCAAAGTCAATGGCGATCAGAACCATATCCGATAGTCTAGATGACCTGGAAGAATAGCATTCTAGACGAAAGATCTTGAGCAAGACATGTGGTCCATTATTCGTAATACTTCGTTCTAGAGGAGGCATGACCTCAGTTTCTATTACATTTCCCATCATAAGAATTGTATGCCAGATATTTTAGTCTAGAGAATAAACGCTTCCCAAGTCTCTTGATGAACCCTACCTGCCGGAAATCGTCGTTAATGAGGCGTTAGTCTGCGATCTGAGTGGTAGCGTTTAGAATATGGAGACTGTGGTTGACTGAATTCTCCATATTCTAGCGATTGATGGGTCGGAATAACGCTGAATGGCTAGGCAAAACGAGTCTGGAGACATTTTGTCACGAATGGAAGGCCGCCAGTGGTTTTAGGACTTGGTACCGGCTCAGTCCATATCACTGATGATTCGCACACAAGGGCAGCAATTTGATGTAATGAAGGGCTTAGTCTATGCATGCATTTCCTAACTTTTTCCCATGTATCCAAACGAGTGACAAAACTCAAAGATAACAAACCACCCCCTCTACCACTTCCCAATGATGTAATGAGCGACGACGAGTTAGACATGATAGAGCCAACACCATTCTGCTATAATCATTCCACGGAGACCGGAATCGCAAAACATCGATATTCAGCGCAGAAAAAGCTTTCGTGGATGAATTTCGGTCGATGCCCCACCCTGTCTCCAATTCTATGCTGTCCAACTAACAGTAGACCTGGTAAGAATACCGGAAAGAAATATCCCAGCATCGATCAATGATACCCAAGTTTGCAGCATCACCGTCACAGTTGTTTCCCGTGAAAACTCGAACTATTTTCAATGTTTGTTAGCGCCATTCTCTGATTTTTTTTCAAACAGAGGATATAAATAAAAATCACAAACTTTCACATCCGGGTTGCTTCCACCACAGTCTGAGACCTTTGCCTGGGAGGCCTCTACATACTCCATCGGGAACGAGGTAGTCGGTTTGTCCGCCGTTGCATCCTGTGGTGCTGAAGGTTGCGAAGGAGACTGCTTGCTCGTATTTCCCGGCGACGGCGGGGGCAGCGTGAGCGGCGAGAAGGCCGGTAATGGAAAGAACAGATGTGCTTAGCTTCATAATGCCGGTGTTAATAGACTGGGAGTCTGCAATAGATAGAACTTGGTGGAGTGATAGATGCTGTCGCAGTGGATGATGGTCTGTCAGTTCAGATGAAGATGGAGAGAAGCTTTATATTCGCTGGGTTTTCAGCTCAAACGTATTGAGTCTGCTAGAACTTTTGTTTCCCACTACCACATTCCTGTTTTGTGAGACTTGTCTTCTCTGATACAGGCATGGTGCTGATATGCTGCGTCTCCTGAGGGTTCAGCTACATACTGAAGATGTATGCAACGTGACACTTGTATTTTATCCAACGTACTTTGAGCTAGTCCAGAGACCAAAGTGGGTTTTTACGAGAGATGAGCGTTAGGACCTGCCGCAAAAGTCTTTTTCTCGAGCAGTGGTTCGACGTTACTTTCATGGGATCTACATCTGCAGTTGCAATCCGAGAATCCTCTGGTGCTAATTAACAGCTCCACCCAGCTGTCCGCTTGAATGATTCAACATTGTATGATATTAGGCCCATACATAACCACGGGAATCGCAGTTGTTGACTAACCGAAAGCATCGTTAGAATACTCTTATCGCGCTTCAGCGCATCCAAAGACTACAAGTAGGGACCTTGGCATTACAAATATCTCAGTAATACCGAGATGCAACTCTAAACTTGAAATACATGGCGTGATGTACCGTCACATGCGACGTTGACAACGCTGCATGGGAAGAGTAACGGACTCAACGGGCTGAAGCACGCGACGGTCTGATGCACGCTTATCCTACTAAAACAACGACCAGCCTCCTACTTGAAAAGGTAATAACTCCACCATCATAATTCTATGCTACAAGTAACAAGAAGGGAACATCTCCTTGGCGCATGTCCCATGGTAGGAGAGCATCGGGCGCACATGTCAGAGAACAATAATCACGAAACTTAGCCTCTCTCAGCAGTCCAAGGTCTGTCAAGATAGACAACCTCTATCCTTACGCAGCGGATTGCGGGATAGACGTTACGGCAACACCCGACGCTAAGCAACAACGGCCGTTGCAAGCTTCTCTCAGCCGCCGTCTATACCGCCTTCTGCACGGCGCGCCCATCCCGCAGCTGTCAGCCGTTCAAACCCTCAGCTCTCAGCCCACAGCTGAGCCCACCGCCCAGCCCTATTTACTTTACACCCAAGAAAATTCTCTCCTCTCATCAACCCGCAGAACACATTGCGACCCCCCCATCCGCTGATTCACAGAGCCTGTTACATACACTTCTACCCATCAAGGCATTTCGCTGTTAGAAAACACCATTATAACGCAGGAGCGGCGCCCACCCAGGCACACGGAGGCGCCCCAACCCACCCCAGTTCCGTTCCGTTTCCCGCAAATCGCAAACTTGGTTTAACTTAGTACCTAATGTTACGCGAAGTTATCTAATTGGGCATATGGGGCAGGTTTGCACGTGAAGGTGGTTACGTAGTAGAGTAGTCCGGATAGGAGAGATGCGATCGGGTAAGCAGGTTTCCGAGGCGGGAGAAGTGGGGCACGAACGGCGATTGTGTGTGTGTGGCGGTGCTAGAAGGGAGGTAGAGTGGCGAGTGTCGGTTGCGAAGCGAGGAGTAAAGAGAATAGTACGTAGGATAGTATGACGTTTTTTTGGGGGTGTTGTGGGGGGCGGGTGCTATGAATAGATGAAACGGGGGAGCGGTTGTGATTGGGTGGGGTATTTTGGGGGTAAGGGTAGAGTAAGATGCGTAATACATCAGCGGTATAAAGTAGTTTATAGTAGTATAATGTTTCGCCTGGTAAATTACAGATTCAGTCTATACAGAAAAGATTTAACAAGTAACCGTGTACGATACCAGAATACTAGTATTTCCCCATGTACACTACATTGTCCCAACCTCCCCACATACTCATATCCATACTCATACAGTTCATATCCGGTCACATCAAACACTCCATCTCCCTTTATCCCTCTACCTGTACTTTCCCCGAGGCCAAAGAAAGGCTCTACACCCTCACCCTAGCAGCACTCTCGTTCCGCTCAATCGCCATACCGAATCCAAAGTCCTTCCTCCGCTTATTGCCCTTGCGATCACCATACTGCTCATCAAACTTCTTGATCGCATTCAGACTGCTCATGTCCTCGCTGATACTGGCGCTGATTTCCTGCAGCGCTTTATCAAAGTGGCGGGCATGCAGTGTGCGTTTTTCAGGGAAAACATAGTCTTGGCCGCGGACGAGATGTGGGGGCTTAGATGATGACGACGAGGTGGCTGCAGAGTCTGTCTTGCTGGATTCAGACTCTGCGCTGTCGCTCTGTGTTGAAGCGGCTTTTGTGACAGCCAGGGCAGCTTGTTCGTTTTCTTCTTTGACACAGGCGAGAGCTGCTGAGACGGCAATGTTTTTGAGGTCGCTTCCACTATAGAAAGGTGTGCGCTTTGCAATGTCGTCCAAATCGACAGACTCATCTAGTTGCTCGCCCCTGAGATGGATGCGCAGAATTTCTTTGCGGTCGGCTTGCGTAGGCAGATCGACGAGTAGGCGGCGAGGCAGACGACGAATGACGGCGTCATCAAGGTCAAAAGGCCGATTTGTAGCTACCATGACGAACACGGAGAGATCGTTGAGGCCATCCCATTCCTTCAGGAATTGATTGAGAACATCGCGGTGGGACGCCCGTTCGCGCATTGCATCTCTTGATGCGAATACAGCGTCTGCTTCGTCGAGGAACACAATGCATGGCGACAGTTTGCGGGCTAACGAGAAGATGGCGGCAACGTTCTTCTCGCCCTCGCCAACATACTTGTCCATGATCTGACTCCCAGACACTTCAAGTACCGAGCTGCCACTCTCCTTTGCTACTGCTTTGGCAAGAAGTGTCTTGCCAGTACCTGGAGGTCCGTACAGCAGCGCACCCGAAATCTTCTCGGTCGCTAGGATACCATAGCTGAATGCTTCAGGCCGGAGCAACGACAAAGAAGTAATTGTGCGTATCGAGTCTACAGTCTCTGTTGGTACGTGAACCTGCTCGAATGTCGTCTTGATTTGATCGGGGTCTGCAATGCCAAGCATGAGTCGCTTCTCATGCTTGTTGGCAGTAGCCGCTATTTTTTGTAGATTGTTTTGACGCTGCATAGCCCTTTCATCCACACGTTTCCGTGCGGGGTCAGGCTCAATCTTTGCTTCCATACTATTCAGCGTACTCTTGGATCGCTTGGATATCTCGGCCACTTTCTCGAAAAAAGTATACTTGACAGTGTCACTGGATTTCAGCAAGCCTATGGCTAGGGCTACGTGTGCCCAGCTCAACTGGCTTTGTGTATTCCCAGACTTCTGTGCCGGACTCGAAACTAGCAAACCCAGAGCTGTTAGGGCTACTCTGTGCACTTCATCATAAGTCAGCACCCGATTGAAGTGCGATTCCAAAAATATTGGTGCCCAGCTGCGGAAGCTCGACATGCTCTGATCCATGTCAGAGATGCCAGCAGCGGCAGACGGATCCAAAGACCGAAGCATGTCTCGGATGTGATGCAGGTTGATGTTTCGGAATTTGCTCCTTTCGTATGGCGAAATGTCTGCCGAGGACGCTATACTGGTCCCGAGAGATGTAATGGCCTCGTCGAAATTTGGCGTGGTACTACCGGATTCTGCTGCCACGACAATGGTTCTATAGAAACTACTTTCGCCCTCATTCTGAAGACCACGGACGCCGCTGTGGTCTGTTAGCTTCATTGTCGAGATAAAAAAATCAATTTCCTCACCTGGCGTTCAGTTCGGGCGTAAGGTCGCGTGAACAAGTACTTCCCACAATCATGATGCTCTCGCCAGCAATCCGTCGCTTGCGAACGATTTCCTCAAGTCGCTGAATAATACGACCGCCATAGTGAGTGGCATTCAGCTCCTTAAAGTCCTTTACAAGTATGATCTTGGGCTTTGCTGGAACATTGAGCTTTTCCGAGGTCTGGCCAATCTTGACTGCTAAGTTGATGTTTGATCTGGCACCAGCTGGTAATGTTGAGTTTAGATCAAGCTCGGCGCTTTCCTGGCCCAAGGAATAGTCAAAGAATGCTGGGCTTTTGGACGATTTTTGTTGTTGATCAGCAGGGCGGACACGGTGAAGAGCCTCATTGCCGGTGATACCTCGACTTTGCTTGATGTGGTTTGCATCAATCAAAGCTTCCAGAAGAGCAGCCAGCTTGAGATCCTCCAACTGCATCTCAGCGTGATTCTGATTACGTCCAGAATCTTCGTTTGAAGCAGCAGTAGATGATCCAAATGGATTTCCCGAGCCAAGTTGCAGGCCTTGTAGATTCTGAGCCATGGCACGCAAAGCTGGTGTAAGGGCAATGATGGAGAGCGGTATAGCACGAGGACGCATTGCGTTAGGATCCGACTGTTCAATAGACGAAGCTTGTGACCACTCTGCTTCGTCTTCGGCACCGGCTTCCTGCACGTCTGCCACGAAGCCGTTTGTGTCTGCATTTAGCCGATAAGTTTCATAACCCAACGCCCTGATCGAATGTGGAGATGGCTCTGCTCCTTCGCCTAAGTAGTCGGCGGCGAGCTGGGCAAGATCTTGAGCATTTAACAAGACGACGTCAGCGCCCGTTTCAACAGCCCAAGACAAGACACATGCATCGATGGATGCCTCATGCTCAGGCGCAGGTGAATGAAGGATTAGATTGGTCTTGGCAGCAGGGAAAGAGTCGCTGGCGGCTGGCTGTAATGCAGAGAGAGATGCAGCCATAGTGGCGCGAATTTCGGCAACTACTAAGGAGGATAAATGCTTGGAAGTGCCCATCTGCCTGGTCCTGGCGACCTCTCGTTTCCTCGCAGCTATCTCAAGTTTGGCACTTTGTTTTCTCATGGCTTCAATCTTCTTGCGAGGGTCCATGTCGGGGTCGTTTTGTAGCTTGTTCAGCTTTGCCCAGGCTTCGGTGAAAGCGCCGTCGTCTGTGATTGCGGCAGCAGGTACGTCGCCGGGACGTCCAGCTTCTGTACTTGCCACTGCCTCATCATTCTTTGACTGTGACGCTGTATTTTCTGCCGGATCCCTCGGTGCTAATGTTTCCTCGAGGTACTTTTCGACCCTATGCTTCTCATTGTCGTCCAACCGCCGACTCCACAGGCCACGTACCAATCGCGAGAGGACCTGGGCTGGGTCTGATTCGGGCTGAGCAGGTAGTGCGCATGCAGCCTGCTCTCCGGATTCAGCGTGTGTGACTGAGACAGAGAGAACCACAGGTGGTTGTGGGTCTCCAGGTAGGTCCTCCCGCCGTATTACCCTCCTCCTTAGGAACCAGTCTGGTATGTGCACGGGCGGCAGCCCCTGAGTCTTTTTGCCTCGCTGTTGGCGTCGCAGGGCAGCAGAGTACCTGCGCGATGTCTCTCGTGACCGCTGAAGTTTTTGTGCTAGTATGTCGGGATCTTCTACGGCTACCGTGCCGTCTGCTGGGTCTTCTGTGGCGGTTGATGCCTTGGCTCTGTCCGCTGGATCAACGCCGTGCTGATCTGTGGGTGTGCCATTGGGAGCTTGTGGGGGATTTGCTGCTTGCGCGAGGGGGCGCGCAGTGTGGAAAGGCCGTAGTCGTGGTATGGATGGGTAGCGTCGACCGCGGATAAAGCGCGCTGGAGGTCTTTTCGTGGACGCTCGCAGTGCTGACCGAATCACGTACATCCGGACGTCGAAGGCACTCCCGGATATGAAGAGAGAGGAGGCCACAGGAATTGATGGCCTTTGAGCGAGGGTTGAGCACTGGGCTGGGTATGATGGCAATTTCGTCAACTTTCTTCATTGTCTGAACAAGGGTCCAAGCCAAGACATGCGGCTGCACCCGCCCTACGGTACCGCTGCACCCTAGTCACAATATAAAGTCGCAGAAACTTGAAACCGACTACTCGGTCTGTAACATTGATGTCCACGGAGAGTGAATATTTGTCGGTAGCTGCAGTGCTGGAATTCGTGTCAAAACGTGCTGCACAGATGACGTAACCAGCCAGTCTACTTAGCATGGAAACTCGGACTGGAATAAGTGAAAGGTAGATTGCAGGTGCAGAAGGTATGGTGCGTGCGAATCATGTCAAAGAGTTTTACAGAGACTGCATTGATCGCAGCAACCTGAGGCAGACATATGGCGAAACATGTGATTACATTATGCAAACAAGACACATGTAGGGAGGAAATCATGGTGAGTAGAACAACGGGCTGAAGCAGTGGTATGGCTTGGCGTCCCGAGTAAGATGAGCAATCGCTGTCACCGTATGGGACCCGCTGGTAGGCTTGTGAGCTGGGTGTTGTATGTGTGTGTATGTACATGTGTATGCACTGCTGTGCTGACAGAGGTGAGGTATAAATCCTGACGGCCGCTTATCCAGCACCCATGCCCAGGGCCTAGACACAAATACGAAGACATGGAGATTGGCTGGCTAACGCATCGGTGGAGATGCAAAGAAGGGGGGCCTCTCGGAGAGATTGTGGAGAGGGAGCTGAGATGACTTGTCGGTCTGCAGAGATGGCTCACTATGCGTGCTCTTCTCTTCGCCAGCCATCCTTGCTTGCCATTTCATGCTCGTGGTTTTTACTATACTATGCTATTGTTTACCGTGGTCATCTCCGCGCCTGCACGGGGCACGCATGTAGCGCCAGCAGATGTCGCAATCGAATACAGTGCCGGTGTCATTGGTGCGCAGCGTGGATCCTGGAGAGGAGCGTGTTTGTATTTTGTTCTGCCACGTCGTGCGCTGTGGTGCATGGACTCTTAGTAGGCGCATGCCCACAGCGAGGCCAATCGCCAGATGGCACCGAGGGCAGACGCGTGTGTGGTGGCTGTGGTGTGTGTTTACAGGGCGTCCAGACGTGCCATCGTCGAGGGTATCGTGCACGTCGGTGCACAGAGTTTGTCGATGTCCATGGAGGGCAGAAGATAGGCCAGCCCCGCGAATATCAGAGTGGCTGAAACGGAGCGCATGCGGTTGTGTGATGGTCAAGGTCCAAGGTTCGAGGGGCAGGGCCCACATCATCGGGGGTACTAAGCGAGCGGCTCTGATTGGCCGCCGCCCCTCCGCCTGTTCCTGCTGTTCCTGACAGTGGCCCGTGCACCATGGCGATCGTCAATTCCTTCTGCGTGTTGACCGCCCGGGCGAGTTGGCTGTTGAGTCCAATTCACTCGTCCAGGCGCTGGCCTGCCTACTTTACCATCTCAAACTGCCCTGCAGGGCCCCCTGCCATCTCCATCGCCGTCCTCGACAATATCTATATCCTTCGCCCACTCCCCCACCCACGTCATCTGGAGGTGCGCGGTCGCTTCGCGATAGCTTCGGGTCAACCCTTTCTTAGTTAGCCGCGTACCATTGATTCCCTTACCAACCACGCGACGGGCCCTTCACCCACCTCCTCCAAGCAGGCGCACCCAGTGCCATGACGCCTTTTTGACATGTCTGCTAGCCATCCCACACCTCATCCACCATCGACCTGGAGGCCGCGATGTCGCTTACGCCCTCCAATTCCCGGATGAGCCCAGCGGTTGGCACTGGCATCAAGCTGACTGCTTCTCCCTCTCCCTTCTACAAAGCCACCCCGCGCGCCTCGCCCGTCAAGCAAGCGCGCGCCGAAGTCAACCTTTCGCTGCGCCAAGTCATCGGAACCACGACCAATTCGCCCAATGCCTTTGACAGTCTGCCCTCAGGTTCCACTTTTGGCTATGCTGCTGGTGCTGCAGCTGTCATTGCTGCCATAGATGATCGCGGCCATGTTACCCAGCGTTTCTATCGCGCACGGCCTGCTACCAATCCCATCAATCCCTCAGCATCAATCTATGGCGGCCCATCAACACCCACCCAGAATGAGAGCCGCAACCGCACAGCTGTCTCTCTGCGCGACGCCAGTTTTGGCGCTTCGTCAGCCTCCTCACCCAGCAGTCAGGACTGGGCAGACTCTCCCAATAATAAAGCTTGGACCACCAGGGACAAGATAAAGGCAGCAACCTGCGTTAGCTTCAGTCCCGACGGCAAATACTTTGCTGTAGGAGAGGCAAGTCACATGCTTACACCTAATTCTGTTACATCCTAACTTACTTCAGACGGGCTACAAACCTCGCGTCCTCATCTTCTCCGCCTCCACAGATGTCCCTTGCGATACCCCTCTCTCATCACTTACGGACCATACGTTTGGCGTAAACTGCGTAGCATTCAGCCCCGATTCTCGTTTCCTCGCAAGTCTAGGCTCAGCCAACGATGGCTTTCTCTACATCTGGCACATCAACTCGCGCTCCGGAGCTGCCACGCTCCATGCTAGCAACAAGTGTGTCAGTCGAATCAACCGGATGGCCTGGATGGGAAACAAGCTGATTACCGTTGGCGTCCGCCATGTCAAAGTCTGGAAGATTGACGATATCAATACCACACTGCGCATCACCAGAGGTCGTCAGAGCGATGCTTCTTTTCTTTCTAGTTCCATGCACAAAACATTGCCGGGGAGAAATTGCATTCTTGACAGCCTCAAAGAATCCACATTTACCAGCGTCGTTGCCATAGCCCGAAACAAGGCTATTGTAGCTTCCGACAAGGGGGATATTTGTCTGATTGACGATTCAGAATCAGATCAACGCTTCCGCAAGCTGGCAGATGCTGGATTTGCCGTAAGCTCACTAGCGGCAGACGTCAAAGGTCGACTTCACGTTGTCGGTAGCCAAGGAACACTGAAGACATTCAACATCAGTGAGATTACAGGAATAAGGACTCCTCCACCATCTCCCCCGCCGCGGGTTCAGTCTCCTACCGTCCCAGTTACCGATTGCGAACAAATTGGCGTCATTGCTTGCTTGAAAGACTACGTTGTCACCGTTGATTCCCAACGAGCCATTCGGCTGTCGCAGTTGTGTTCTGACGATGATGATGCAGTTGTTGGTAAGGTGGTTCGCACGTTGCCGGCACATGGCAAAGCGGTACTTGGTGTACATGCAGGGCTCGCTCAACCCAACGTTTTCGATGCTTCCTACTATACATGGGCTGCCGACGGGACAGTCATTTTCTGGAGTCAGGGCGCATGTAAAGACTCTCTCCAAGTCTACCTTGAACAGCTAGACGACCCTGAGGCGGTTCCTAATGAACTGAGGACTGTACGCGTCACTGCTGACGGTGCAAATCTCATAGCAGGAGACAAATTCGGCGTATTGAGATTCATTAACTGTGAAACGAAGACTTGCACGCTGGAATTCAAAGCACATGCAAGCGAAATCACCAGTATCGCCATACACGAAGAAGAGCAAGAGATATTTGTCGCTTCGGCCAGTCGAGACCGGACTGTGCAAGTCTTTACGCGAACTGGAGAGACTTGGGAGCTGTTGCAAACACTGGACGAGCATGTCGGATCAGTGAATGGAGTCACATTTTCACGCGATGGTACACGCCTGGTGTCGTCCTCAAGCGATCGAAGTCTGGTGGTTCGCGAACGATTGTCGCTCGAAGATGACAATGGAACCAATCGCGCCTTCGTGATGTCACGGGCCATTATTGTAAAAGCCACACCCGTGTCTACGGCATGGGATGTCGATCTGGATGATACCCTTCTGGTTTCAACCATCGATCGTCAGGTGCACAAATTTGACATCCGCACAGGTCAATGCCTCAGCAATTTCCGTGCGTGTGATACAGATGGAGGAGACGCCGTTGTTTTGTCGTCCCTGGTTCACATATCTCGCGGCTGGGGCGCTCCATTGATCGCTGGCGTATCGAGCACAGATAAGTCGATACGTGTATACGATGACAACGGTTTGCTAGTTGCTCGTGACTGGGGCCATACCGAGGGTGTTTCTAATATTGCGCTCGTGAATACGCCTCAAGGTTTAGCAGATGAATCAAGCGAAAAGTCGCTAGTTACTGTCGCAGTAGACGGGACTATATTTGTGTGGGATCTTGGCATCCAGACACCAAGTCGCCCCGATCCTCCAAAGGCTCCTGATCTACTTGCTCCAAACACGCCATCAAAAGAAGATCTGTTATCCAACAGGCCACCTCTACGGCGCGTACTGTCGCAGTCAGAATTGGCGCGTTATCAGCGCTCGAATCAGGAGGGAGACTCGACACCGAGTGGGAGCAGGTCACCAAAACTGAGAAAGAAGCTCTCAAAAATCTCCTTGGGCTCGACTCCCAAGCTAGAACCTTCTCCTATACCAAGCAGCGCGCGGGACGGGCAAATGACCTGTCAAGAGAAGGGCACAGGGCGGCGAAACAAGAATCGTTCGCCGTCCCCTCCAAGTCCCAGGAACACACAACGACCCAAGCGCCGCGGATCAACAGACGCTAGGAATCGTAATAAAGCACCTGTCCGTGAATTTGGGACTATTGATGGATCGACAGAAAGCTTGTGCAGAACACTCCGGGCCTATAGGAAGCGCCTTGCAAATTCTACCGATACCATGAGCCCTGAACTCGCAAAGGAGGTTGAGAGAGAGCTTGCTGTGACTGCAAGAGCAATTGGTGACCGGGTCAAAACCAAGGCTTTTGAAGAAACAGTCATGATAAAGTTGCTAGATCAGTACTCTGAGCGGCTGGTCAACATGCTGGATGAAAAGATTGCAGCCAGCGTGGCCCAACGCGTGCGTGAGAGCAGCGTAGGCAATTTTTCAGACGGGCCTGATTCCCCTCGCGTTGTTCACCGTCCCTCTGCAAGTAGAACTGACAGTGAGGGTATGAGGAGTTTTCGTGAGGAATTTGATTCTGGCGCCGAGGTCCAGGATAGCGGGAAGAAGTAGGCAGTGTAAGATAGGTGGTTTTGCTCTAAGGGCCGGATATACAAGCCGCACATGATGAACAGTGCGGCAGATGCGGCGTTGAGAGGTGTTTTGTAAGTACGTCAAGCGGGCGTTTTTTCTTTTTGGGATAGCGAATGATGCTCTTTTCATCGTTTTGAGCATACACACCCATTAGGCGTTGGAAAGCGGGAAGATATGGCCCGGGTTTGGCCATTTGTTTTACTGTTTATTTTTTTATTCCTTATCTCTTTTTGTCTACAGTACCACTACGCATGACATAATCGTAGTTCTTAGTTTTAGGGTTTTCCTTTTCTTTTCCTTTGTTCATAGCCTCACTCGCTTGATAATGCGCACATATCTCCATCGTACCTGGGACCCCTTCACTATGTGATTCCTTTTATATTTACAACTTCGCAACCTCTTGCAGAATCCTTAGGTCTTCCCTGCTCAAATCCGCCAAACTCTTCTTACCCAGATTCGAAAGCGAATTATCAGTATCAGCCAGTAGACAATCCAGCACATGCTTCACACCCTCTTCACCCCCCATAGCAAGTCCATATGCATACGGACGGCCCACAAGCACAGCCTTCGCACCCAGCGCCAGCGCCTTAAGTACATCCGACCCGGTCCTAATCCCCGAATCAAAAAGAACCGTCAAATCACTTTCCTTCACCTTCTCATCCGCCGTAATCTCCGCCAGCGCATCCAACGACCCAATCGCACCGTCAAGCTGTCGCCCCCCATGATTCGACACGACAATACCATCTATCCCGTATTCAATCGCACGATGCGCATCCTCAACCGTTTGAATCCCCTTGAGCACAATCGGACCCTTCCACAGCGACTTGAGTATCTCAAGCTGACTCCAATCCCTATACGTTCCCGACGCGACCAGACTCGTAAAGAACAGCGCCTTCTTCATCACCGACGCATGCGCCAGCACCTTGGCCGCGCCCCCTATGCTCCCGGGCCGCTTAAGAATCTGCCATATCTCCGCGACTTTCTCGGCCGCCGACCGCGTGTCGCGGGCTTGTTCTTCGGCAAACAGCTGGTTGAAGACGGGGTCTGAGAAGGCGACTTGGCAGCCCTGGCCCCAGACAAAGGGCAGGTACGAGGCGTCGAGGTCGTTGGGGCGCCAACCGATGACGAAGGTGTCGAGGGTTACGACGAGGACTTTGTATCCGTTTGCCCAAGCGCGCGACAGGAGGGAAGCGGTGAAAGACTCGGCAGCGGGTTTGGGCCAGTAGAGCTGGAACCAGCGGTCTCCCTGTGAGCCGTTTGCGGCGGCGACTTGCTCGATGCTGCGGGTTGCGGCCGTGGAGAGGATCATGGGGATTTTGGCGGCGGCGCAGGCGCGCGCCGTCGCTTCTTCGCCGTCTTGATGCAGGATTTCTTGCACCCCGATAGGCGCGGCGAGCAGCGGGCTCGGGTATTTGGTGCCAAAGAGCGTGACGCTCATGTCGCGCCGGGTGACGGGGACAAGCATTTTGGGTAGGAGGCGGTAGCGCGAGAAGGCGGAGAGGTTGGAGCGGTAGGTATCTTCGCTACCGGCTGAGCCGGCGACGTAGAGGAAGTTGGGGAGGGGGATTGCGGCGCGGGCGCTGGCCTCCCATTGTGAGGGTTTGGTGGAGTATTTGGGTGGGTGGAGGGAGGAGTAGATGTCGCGTTGGTAGGATGAGTACGATGTTGGGTCTGGTTCATAGTCTGTTGTTTCTGCCGTTTTGGAAAGCACTTTTGTGTCCGTCATTGTGAGGAAAGTATTGGTTTTGTTGAATTATAGTGGATGTTGTACGAATGTGACTGTTTGCATGGTTTGCTGCAACCGAGGAGATGGGATGAGTGGAAATGCGGAGGACGCGACCGATCGACGCGGAGATGTGGGGGACCAATCGAGGCTTGACATGCCGAGGCTCCCCACTACCCGCGTTTGGGCCAACCAACATTTGTAGGAGGTTGTGACTATCTTACTCGTGTTGTTTTCCCTCATCTTGTGAAGTGGGAAGTAGGTGTTTAGGATGGGTCAGATATGAAAAGACCGCCGCGGTTTACCTGCCAGCAGTGGATATGCAAATGTGTTTGTAAATAAGACAGGTGGTAAGGAGCAGACACCACGACCCACCCTGGGGCAGGAAAGAATTGGTTGCTTGAAAGGCTCCTCACCGCCCAAAACACCGTTCCCAAACGACCAGTGATACAGTAAAAACATCAATTTTTCATGATAACCTTTAACTTTCATCCGCGTTATTCATATCGTTACTGAGGCCACAATGGCATCGTCCATATTTTGGGGCTTTACAGCAGCCGTCGTTGTAGCTATACTTGCAGCACGACACAGCGTCTACCATATCTCGTTGCTGCCAGCAATTGGTCCCTTGCTTTATGCTCGCATTGGTTGTCCAACGGTGACTACGCATACTGGCTATCTGGGCTATGGAGGTACTGAGAAACCTCATCATTCAAGCTGGGACGCTTGGTGGCATCCACAACGCAGCCATGACAGAGGCGATAAGAACAAGGATAGTGCAGGCGTACTGACAGAGGACTGGAATATCTTGTATCATCTTGGTGGTAATGGGCCGTGGGTTGAGAAGGTTATTGATATTGTCGAGGGTGGTGTCGCAACACCTGAGGGATGCGAGGTGGTGCAGGTTCACATGGTATGTTTCTGCTTACTATTGTTGTTGGAGTACTGGTCGTGGGGCATCCTGATTCCTCCATTTCCATGGCATATGCTGAGGGAAAGCAATTGCTGACGTCAGTTGTGAAGATGGCCCGGCATGCTGAGCGGTATCCTACAAAGAGAGCTGGTAGTGGTGAGTGAACATGTAGGCTATGGTTTTTGATATATGCTTACCATATTTACAGCCCAGAAAGCTGTGGTTAAGCGTATGAAACAATCAGGAAAGGTCTTTACCGGCAACTTGTCGTTTTTCAATGGATGGGAACTTTTCTGGACTTCAGGTACGTCCTTGGTTCACCTAAAGACTGACTTCACACTTATCAGATGGAGATAGATGAAGAAGACCTAGAGCAACTCACATCAACTGGTCCTTTTGCCGGAACGCTTGGCTCCTTTACTACAGGAGTTCGTCTCCGCACTCGCTACCGACATCTGATTGATCAAGCTGCGGCGATTCATCCGGATCATCCTACTACCTTTTGGGCCAGTGGCTCCAACCGTGTAATCGAGACAGCTAAACACTTCGCTGCAGGTTTTTTCGGACTCGACTACGCCAGTAAAAACACAGCGAACCTCTCAGTCATATCAGAGCACTCCTCACTCGGTGCAGATACGCTAACACCCGGACGGACTTGTATCGCCAACAAGAAAGACAAAGAGCACGGTCAGCCAAAGGGATATCGTCTTATGCACAAATACCGCTCTATTTACATGCCTCCTATCCGCAAACGTCTTCTCGAACAAACAGGCATGGAATTCAATGACGAAGAGATTTACGCCATGCAGGAAATGTGTGGATTTGAAACCACAGTTCGTGGACGGAGTGATTGGTGCAATGTCTTCACCCAAGAAGATTTTCTCAGTTTTGAGTATGCGAGAGACATCCTGCACTACTACCGCGCCGGACCAGGACAAAAATATGCAAAGAGCATGGGGTGGCTGTGGGTGAATGCAACGACGAATCTGTTGGTGCAAGGCCCAGAAGAGGCAGGCCCACTGTTCTTCAGCTTGTGAGTCCATTGATTTATTATAGCCCCCATGGCTTATTGCACAGAAATGTGAACTAACATGAGGCCAAACACAGTGTTCACGATGGCGATATCGCACCCATGATCTCCGCTCTTCATGTCATCAACGACGAACAACACCTCCCCATTACACATATTCCCCACGACCGCAAATGGCGCAAGTCCCAAGTCTCACCCATGGGCGGGCGCATCATCTTCGAACTCCTCTCATGCAGAGCAGGTAATGGCGACGATAGCCCTCGAGAAAAGTTTGTCAGACTCAATATCAACGACGGAATCACGGCCTTCCCGGATTGTCACAGCGGACCAGGCAAGAGTTGTCCTTTGGCTGAATTTGCCAAAAGAACGAAGAGGAAGGGCGAGGAAGTGCAAGAGTTCAAAGACCTGTGTGGATTAAGTGATGATGCAGCCAAGAGGATAACGTTTTTGAATCAGAAAAAGATTAGTGAGTAAAAGGTGGTAGTGACGGGCGAAAGTACGGCTCTTCCTTGTGTATGTCAATCTCCTGAATGGAGAAAATAATTTTAAAATGCCCAGTGTTTGGCGGTACAACTATGCCATGCGAAACTATCTTGACCGAGATCAGATGAGATAAACAGTTGTCTTAGAAAAAAAGACGATCTAATCACCAAAGTTTGTCCTTTGCAAGCAGTGAAACTAGCCTCCCCTTTCTACTTTGCTTCCTTTCATTTGCGGAACTAGGGGAGGGTCGCAAAAAAGTAGTTCCATGACATAGTGCTGTAGATGAAAACGGAAGGATTGAGTTAGGCGTTTTAGTATAGATCTTGCAGCGTTTGCTGCAGGTCTAGTGCGTCTTGGATGAACGGATTTATTACACAGGGTTTATCCAGGTAGGTAGCTGGACAAGTGGGGCTGTCTAGTTTCTTAATACGAGCTTGTATGTGTTGAAGGAAAATAATATCCATTTACGCCAAGCGAGTGATGTTACTGGAGGATATCTGTTAATGCAAGCAGATCCTATGGGCGGGGATGTGAGTGGGGTTGTCAGAGCTATGTATTTTTTTCCAATCGCGAGCAGAACCGATTTACAAGTTTTTGCACTTTTACCAATCACTTGACTTTTTCTCTCTCTATCTCAGAAAATAATGGCAAGCCACACCCCAACCTGCCGGAACCGGGTATCAAAGAAATTGACTTCGCAGTCAAAGTACACAGTAAAAGGATTCGGGTGGATTTTAGCGAGACTCTGTCTTGCACTTTTACATAGTACTATTCACTTGACTTCACCGCACAGAACTCCTACTAGGTAGTAACAAGACGAGTTCTTACTTCGTATTAGCGTCTTGCAAGTATATTTTCCTAGTTTGCAAAAGTTCTCATCACATCATACTACGGATTTAGTGGTGAAGCCGGTGCCGCGAATAAGCCTGGCAATCTGGGAAGGCAGACTATTTTGGTGACGTCATGCAATCTGTGTGCTGCGCCAGCAGGCTGTGCTACACAATGCCTAGTGCCCCGCCCAGCTGAACAAGCTTACATACTACTTATTAGGCTACTAGCAATAACACACCAAAATCTCTATCCACACTCAAAGCACTCAGAAAAACGTAGCAATGAGCTTTGGGTTCAGCATTGGTGACTTTCTGGCGGCGATTGAACTGGCTAACAAGATCAGGAAAGACTTCGTTGGCGCTCCAAGCCAGTTCAAGGACATATCCAATGTGTATGTTACCGCAATAGATGAAAGGGCTATACTGATACAGTTGTCAAATAGGCTCCGAAGCCTTTCTATTGTCCTTAACGATGCTGAAGTAACGGTGTTCGAACATGAACTCAATCCTCAAGAAGCAGCAGATTTCCGGAATGTTCTTGATGATTGCCAACGAACTCTTCGCAAGCTGGAACAAACAGTAGACAAGTATATCGTCATGGACTCACAGCAAACGAGCATCAGCGGCAAGCTGAAGAAAGCATGGAAGCGACTATCTATGGAGCCAGAGGACATCCGCGATCTTCGGAGTGATGTCAACATCAATATTGATCTACTCACCGCACTGACCGGGCGGCTTACTCGGGACAACACCTTCAAACTAGTGCGGTACCAAGAAGACAAGGAGCGGCAAGCCATCCTTGACTGGCTAACGCCAACTGACTATGCTCCTCAGCAGAACGACTTCCTCAAGCAGTGGCAAGCTGGATCTGGAAAATGGCTTCTAGACTCAGCGGAATTCAAAAGCTGGTTAGATACCAAGAAGCAGAAACTATTTTGCCCAGGCATACCAGGAGCTGGGAAGACAATACTCACATCAATTGTAATAGAAGAGCTTTCTTCACGCTTCCAAGACGAAAGTAACTACGGTATTGCATACATTTACTGCAATTTCAAGCGGCAAGACGAGCAGACTTTAGAAGACCTACTCGCAAGCGTACTGAAGCAGCTAGCTCAAGCAAGATTTTCTCTCCCACAAACCGTCAGGTCTCTCCATGACAGGTACGAATCTATGAAGGCCCGGCCTTCGATAGATGACATCAAAATGGCCCTTCATTCGGTAGCTGCTGAGTTTTCGCGAGTCTTCATCCTTGTCGATGCGCTGGACGAATGTCGAGTCAATGACAGTTGCCGAGCGAAGCTACTTTCACAACTCTCAGAGCTTCAGACCAATTGTGGAGCAAATCTTTTCGCAACATCAAGGTTCATTCCGGACATCATGGAAAGATTTGAAGGAGACACATGGTTGGAAATCCGCGCCAGCGAGCAAGACATCCAGAGATATATTGAAGCACATATCGATGAACTGCCGCGTTTTGTCGGACGAGATCCGGATCTACAGCAGGAAATTAGCTCTAAGATTGTCAAAGCTGTCGATGGCATGGATGTAGCTTCTTACCCCGTTCTTGAAGATTTTACTAACTGTACTAGGTTTCTACTTGCACAACTCTATCTCAATTCCTTAAAAGGAAAAAGATCCCGAACAGCTATTCGAGACGCTCTGAAGAAACTGCCCACCGGCACAGAATCATACAATTGTGCATATTCTGATGCTATGACGAGAATCGAAAGACAGCTACCGGATGAAGCAATGCTTGCGAAGGAAGCTCTGTCATGGATCACTTGCGCAAAGAGGCCACTGACCACAACTGAGCTTCAGCATGCTCTTGCAGTCAAAGATGGACAAGAAGAACTCGACGAAGACAACAAATCAGACATCGAGGATATTGTCTCAGTATGTGCTGGACTAGTCACTGTTGACGGAGAGAGTGGCATTATTCGCTTAGTGCATTACACAACTCAAGAATACTTCGAACGGACACAAAAGAACTGGTTTCCAAACGCAGAATTCGATATCACGACGATTTGTTTAACTTATCTCTCTTTTGCAGTCTTTGGAAGCGGACCTTGCGACACAGACTATGAATTTGAGAAGCGGCTGCAACTGAACCCATTGTACGAATATGCCGCGCGCTACTGGGGTCACCATGCTTGTCAGGTCCGGAGTTCGCTTCCGAAAGTCATCGAATTTTTCCGTCACGAGATAAATGTGGAAGCAGCAGTTCAAGCAATGCTAGTCCGCAAGCTTTTCCCATCGCAGAATTGCTATAGTAAAGGTTTTTCCAGGCAAATGACAGGACTGCATTTATGTGCATATTTCGGGCTTGTGGACGTAGCCGCGACAGTTATTTATTTTGCAGGCCTCAACTCGAGAAATGACAACGGCCAGACACCGCTATTTCTGGCCGCCAGAGGAGGGCACGAATGTGTAGTTAAGCTACTACTAGACACAGGCAAGGTTGAGATTGATCTTAAAGATAATTATGATCAGACACCGCTATTAGTAGCCGCTAGAGAAGGGCACGAAGGTGTGGTTAAGCTACTACTAGATACGGGCAAGGTTGAGGTTGACTCAAGGGATAAATGCGGCAAGACACCGCTATTCTGGACTGCTAGAAATGGACATGAAGACGTAGTGAAGCTGCTGCTGGACACAGGCAAGGCTGAAATCGATTCGAGGGATAAACACGGCCGGACAACGCTATTCTGGGCTGCTAGACATAGACATGAAGGTATAGTGAAGCTATTACTAGATACGGGAAAGGTTGAGGTTGACTCAAGGGATAAACACGGCCGGACACCGCTATTCTGGGTTGCTAGAAATGGACATGAAGGTATATTGAAGCTGCTGCTAGACACGGGCAAGATTGAGGTTGACTCAAGGGATGAATACGGCGAGACACCGCTATTCTGGGCTGCTAGAAACAGACATGAAGACGTAGTTAAATTGTTGCAGTCCGCCGGTGCTTCATAGTTCATTTGTCACTTAGGACATGTATATTAGCCACCCGCCTACCCGCTACCTTGCAAGGTAGCGTTCCTTATATGTCCAAAAAAATGTGCTTCAGGATATCCTTTGCTCTGGAATCTAATTGCCTAAAAAACCACCCTTCTACTTATTAAGGCGTATTACATAGACAATAACTGCTGTGGCATACGTACACATGTTGAACAACATAAGAGAGAGATGTTAAAGAACAGGATTCAGATCAGGACAATCAGCATACGACGCTAAAGCAAGCAGAGGGTAGCTCGATATAAGGGCTGATTTGGCTTGCTATGCAGAGGTCGCTGTTCAAAGTTTTAATTCTGGATCCACTGCCTGTAAACAGATTGACGAGCGTCAATATCTTAGCGGTAGTGACCCAGTACCAGGGCAAGTACGAGAAGGCTGAAAAGCTTTATCAAAGGACATTGGAAACAAATATCCAGATACTTGTAGCACAGTATCCTGACGTGTTAGCAAGCGTGGACAGTTCAGCTACCGTGCTGCAGCCCCAGGGCACTTTTGAAGAAGCTGAGAAACTATACCATCAAGTACTGAGAGGGAGAGAGAAGGAGCTAGGAGATGACCATCCCGACACGCTGACATCTGTCTACTGCCTCGTTCGTCTCTTACGTACGCTGCGCCAATACTCAGAAGCAGCAGAGCTTTATCAAAGGGCGTGCGATGGATACACGCAACAGCTTAGTCCTCATATTGTTGCTGCCACGCTCATTTCATAATTATGCAGCAAGCGGCAGAGCAAACTAGGTCACCTTGAGGTGACGGTCTATCTCCAGGCAGCTTTGAGCGTGTTTCTAATGCCGAGACTTGTAAGACGGATGCGTGATTGAAAGCGACTTTTACAGTATCGCCTGCCCTCCTGTGGACACGATACAGTGACAAAACCAAGACAGTAATTTCAAAACATGCTGCGCTACTCTCTTCCCCCTCTCTCTCAAGTGATGCTAAGGATCACTCATCAAAGATAAGTTAAAAAGAATGACTAAGCTATCCTGGTTTGTAGGATTCAGGACATGTTACGACAAGCCCCATGTAGTACAGCGCTAGGGCTAGAACAGTAAGTACCTCGTCGGGGGTACCGCACGGTGAGAACAAGCGAACTGCAAGACCTGGAAACCGATTTCTGTCAGCATTGTGCCTACATTTTAAATTTTTCGAATTCTCTTGTCTATTTTAAGCTTCCTGTTTCAAGAAGCCTGCTAGTATGCACACATGCTCTGCGCCAGCTCCTTCGGATATGCGGCAATGAACCTGAAACGCTCAAGTCAAGACCCATAGGGATGTGTTCATAGTTGTGTACTCACATTAGTTTGGTCTGGGCATGCTAGACGGAGAGAAAAAAATGCCGAGATAAGACCTGTATGGTACCCATTTTGTCGGCGAGACTGACGGTAAACTAGTGTCGAAGAATGCGGGTACCTGCAAACGGCATCATGCCTGGATGATTCTGCCCCGCAAGTTTGGTGCATTACAGCCACGAACCAACCAACAGCGCCTACTACCTACTAACTCCACAGGGATTCAGCAAATTCCAGAAGTAGTCATTTTCCTTGATTAGTTGCCAAGGTGACAAAGCACGCTTGGACCCACCCATCCATTACTACTACCTTCTTTCGCATTGCTACTTTGTCATTTACATGTTCCCACACCCAAACAGCGGCGTCGGTCTGACGTCTTTCCCTTAAAAGGTTCAAGGCATCGCGAGTCATACGATAGCCGAAATAGTCAGCTATCATTTTGCAGAAGCCGTCATGTGTCGGCCGCCCTCACCGCATGCTGCACACGGGCTTTCTTTGGCTAGGTATACCTGTTCCACTTACATGGCTGATCAGTCAACCGCGACTAAGTAGAGTGGCGCCATCAGCACTAAACATCTGCTGCAAAAATAGGTGCAAGATTTTGATCAAATACTAATCCTATCGGCGCAACGAATATGAATAAATTGACCGCACAGGAGGGGTGTCGACTGGATTGCGACAGACCTCCAGCCATTACTACACATAACAATGACAGCCACATCTGAACATGTCCAAGCCTTTGCGCCCCTCAGTTGGGCCACACCATACCTTACATCTCCCAAATGGACGGTTTGCGACCGCGAACGAGGGTCTGAGCCTGGGGAAGATACGGACCGATTCTGTCGCGACACAATGCGCGCAAACCACGGTGTGCAACACTGGGTCGAGCTACACGAGCAGCCTAGTAATCCCGGCGGGAAAATTACGAAGTCGATTTCTCTAATAAAGTTTGGCACGGGCCTAAACGGATTCCCTGGTATTTGCCACGGAGGCGCACTCTTCACGCTCATGGACGAAGCAATGTGCTACATTGTTGTTGCGAACACGGTGGTTGAGCACGGCGTTGCGTTCATGAAGGCTGGCGAGGACCAATGGCGACTTCAGCTTTTCCACGGTAAATCGGCACAAGAGGTTCTCAAGGGCCGTTTGGTAACGGCAACCATGGACACTAAGGTGCTAGCCCCGGTTCTTTGCCCAGGTATCGTAGGCATTGAGACGGATGTTCTGGAAGATAAGGGAAACAAGATGCGGATAAGAGCTATTATGAGGGATCGACAGGGCAAGCCCGTCGTTAAAGCCGAGGGCCTGTGGGTGCGAGTAGGAGGTGCAGCAAAGTTGTGATGACGTCTAGCTGCAAGGGACCAAGATGTGTCGAAACGGCGCACCCGCATAGAGTCAATGTAATGGTTCCTGGAGGCCGGCATGCAGGCCACTTTGTCCTTCCACAATAGTGCATTACCATAAACACGTGTGCTGGGACCCCGGTCAACGTCGCATTAACGTCGGGCACGCTAGCCACTACTGGTTTGACATGTACTGGTCCTTACTGTAAAGGCATCCCTCTCCGACAATACCTGTGCCTCCCATGGACAAGGCGCAGTCAGTTAAATGCACATGCCAGCAATCTTTTCTTCTATTCGTTAGTGACGTCTAAGTGCGCCTGACCTATCTTGAACCCCACCCCTACGGCCACTTACAATGGGTGTAAATATTTCCGTTTGTATAAGAGCGATCATCTATCACCAGATCCTAAGGTCTGTCCTCTCTACGCAGCCACTCTGACCAGTTCTTCGCTCTTTTCAAGATGCATTCCATCCTTGCTTCGGCCGTTGCCCTCTCTTCACTGCTCCCTCTGAGCCTCGCTCAGACTTCGGGCACATTGAACACCCTGACATTTAACGTTGCTGGCCTTCCTGCTGCCCTCAATGGCAACGATGTCCCTGGTGACAAGACGACCAACACTGCTCGTATCGGAGAGCTTTTCACAAAATACAACATCTCGCTCATCCATGTTCAAGAAGACTTCAACTACCATGCTACTCTCTATGCGAACGACAAGCACCCATACCGAACGGCTACTAGCGGTGGTGTACCCTTTGGTAGCGGTCTGAACTCGCTGAGCAACTTCCCCTTTACCAGCTTTAACAGGGTCAAGTGGAACACTTGCAGTACTTTTGAGTAAGTTTTGATATCTCTAACTATGCGAATCGATACTAAACAGTACTTCCTCAACAGTAGCGCAGACTGCCTTACACCCAAGGGCTTCACTGCCATGCGAGTCAAGTTCGCCGAGGGCGTTGTCATTGACGCATACAACCTCCACGCAGACGCTGGGTAAGTCTCGATTAGTAAAGAAAACCCAATGCCTCAAACATGGACTAAATCAATCCCAAAGCACCACGGACGCCGACAACAAAGCCCGAGCAGACAACCTCCGCCAAGTCTCCGACTACATCAAAACCTACTCCATCGGCAACCCCGTCATCGTCTTCGGCGACTCAAACTCGCGCTACACACGCACCGACGACATCCCCGCCATCTTCAAGGAGCAAAACGGCATGACGGACGTGTGGGTCGAGTTGATCAAAAACGGGGTTCCGCCCGCCAAAGGCGCCGACGCGCTCCTCTGCTCCAACCCCTCGACAACCAACGAGTGCGAAATCGTCGACAAAACCTGGTACCGGGGCTCCGCAGCCGTCCAGCTCACAGCCAAGACGTTCGACTACGCAGGCCACATGTTCCTGCAGGACAACGGCGACATCCTCAGCGACCACAACGGCGTGCTCGTCGACTTTGCCTGGACCGCCGTCGACCGCTTCGCCCTCTCCGACACCTTTGGCGGCGAAGGCGGAACCTGGTTCAACGACCTCGACACCGTTGCTGCGGCCAGCTCCGCAAAAGTCGCCTCGCTCACGCTGAGGGGCGCCGACCGCGTCGATAGCATCGCGTTGAAGCTGGCGTCCGGCCAGACCCTCGCCCATGGCGGTACTGGCGGCACAGAGGCCAGCTTGACCCTCGCCAGCGGAGAGACGCTCACCGAGGCTACGTTGTGCCAGGGCCAGAGGAACGGCGGTAACAGGCTGTTTTACGCACAGTTCAAGACTAGTGCTGGCAGGACGCTCGCCACGGGTGTTAAGACGAGCGATTGCGTTACGAGGACTGCGCCCGCGGGTAAGAGCATTGTTGGGCTTTTGGGTCGTGCCGCGGATGGGGTCGATCAGGCTGGGCTTATTTACTCAAAGTAAAATCGGGGGGGGAGGGAGGGAGAGTTGGGTGATTGCACGGCTTATGTGCGCTTTCTTGTGTTTATTTTTTATTTTTTATTTTTATTTTTATTTTATATCTGGATAGGACGGATGATCAAATTATGTTATGATGATACGTGAATGCTGTGTTCGAGGCTTGAGTTGGAGTGATGTTGTTTAAGTGGTTTTAAGGCGTACTACTGTAAGTACGTACTACTTACTAATTGCTGCATAGACAGCTGTAAGTGGAGTCACGTCAGCCACAACCGCTTTTAGATGCTTCGTTGGTTTACCAAGTAGTATCTTGGCACTTGAACAGTGAGCCGCGTAGCCTAGTCAGTTGGCTCAAGGGAGGTAGTATTATGGTGCAAAGAATCATAAAAGCAGGATGACAATTGGTGTAGCATCTCTTTGTCTCACCAGTACCACTCTATTTATTTTACTACATCTCCACCAGCTTCAACATCATCTACCTCCCATTCTCCACTCTTCTACATCTTGAAACCCGCATTACTAGCCTTGGCGATACTGAGTCGCATAGAACTACGTTTCCCGCGTGTCCCTTGTAGGCTTTGATAGTGGTATGATTTGGGAAGAGAGTAGAATAGTGGGCTGCAGATGTATGTGTGTGTGTGTGGTTTGGATAGGGGTATATAGGGATGATGTGGGGGGCAAGATAAGAGAGGGAGGGAGTGGGGAACATATTTTAAGGGTTGTGGGGTGGCGGGGAGGGCGCTGATTATATGACAGATCCCGGGTAGGTGGAGAGGGCGTATGATGAGGAAAGTGGGGAAGATTGTTCGTTATGTGGCTAAGCGAGTAAATTAAAAGTTTTGGATTCTTCTCAGGGGGGTTTTTTTTGGTTTAATATATAGGGTAGATTTAGGACATGTGTAATGGCCAAAGAAACCTTGGTTTTCTAATTTGGTCTGTATATGCTGCTACTTTATACTCGTACAAGAAAAAGCTGAACCTAAATAAAGATAGCGTTCAAGGAAAGTAAGAAAGAAAATGAATACAAGGGTAAATCACTGGACAGCAGCACCTTCTCTTCATCTCCCACCCATCTGAACCTCGAATTGGGACCTGACGTCTCTAGTCCCTAGTCGTACCGTTCTTACTCGTAAAACCAGTATTGAGCCTTATACGGCACAGTGATAACCTCGCCGGCCGCCTTACCTGCACAAGTAGCAGGCGCAATTCCACCAACAGTCTGCACACGGTAGATTTCTTTAACGGTGCTCGTTGATCCAGCCTGAGCGGTAAGTCTAAGCCACTTGACATCGCTAGCCGGGTTGGGCGCATCAACCTCCTGTGCCTTCTTTAGGATCGTGTTACCGAGCGACGCAACATCAAAATCGGGGGTCGTGGTGTCACGGAAGAAATGGGAGCCTATGCGGGCGAAAGCAGGAAGATCACTAGTGGCGATGGCGGGATGGGCAGCTACGTTGCAGGTGTCGTCGAAGAGCTGGGCTACGGCACCGATGGAGGTGGGAGCCGAGCTGGCATCAGCGCAGGTGTAGTTTTGAAATCCTACGCCCAAGGCGACAAGGACGGGGTTTCCAGATGGTGCGGCGAGGCCAGATGCAGGCAGCTTGAGGGTGGCTTTATTGCAGGCTGAGGCGACGTCCCCCTGGGCAGTGGGAACTCGAGGAGTCACGAAGCCTCCAGTGGCGGGCATTGGTAGGCGGCGCAAAGGTGTTGCCGCAGTGAAGCCAGTAAGGGCAACGACTGTGAGAAAGAGCGAGGTGCGCATCTTGACGGGTTTATTTTTTGTTGTTTTTCTTCGTGTATGTGTGTGTGTGTGTATAAAAGACTGGAGTATAGGCGCAGGGTATGTATGTTGATGAATGCTTTTCAACAATGCTGTGTTGCTGGAACGAGGGAAGAGCTGCCTGAGCCTGAAAGAGCGAAGGAAGAGTAAAAGAGGCTGTGTGTGGAAATGTGCTGAATGACTGAGTTGTGGATCATCTTCACAGCAGGTGGCCTGCCTTATATATGCTGTTCGTTAACCTCATAACGGTCTTACCGTGGCGTATTTAGAGGCCGAGGCGGCGGGTGATCTGACTGTCGGAACGTTTGACATGTATACCAAAGTTGGTGTTAAGTTTCGAAAGTATGGAATAGAGTTAGACCCTGGACCCGGTGGGTAATACTCTGTACTAGAGGAAAAAGCTGGATTTGTGCAACTGATACACGAGGGATGAACGGTTGAAACAAAAGTTCCTGCCTTACGGGGACGGAGGATCCGCGTCGCACAGACAGACAACGGGTGGGTCTCCCGGCGATGTTTAGTACGCCGGTAAAACATTGACTTGGTTGTGGAGAAGCAATGGATAACAGCGGCCTTATAGATGACAGAAGTCTTGTCGACCAGAGATGAATTTTTCCAGCTTGATTTGCAGACCATAACATGGCCTGCAAGGCGACTAGAGAGGCAGTGACATACTGCTTACTAGTATAGTCTATACCTACAGACAACTGTGCCGCGATGCTGCTGACAACGGCACGACTGTGCAAGGGGTCCCCGAGTTTGAAAAATAGTTGCATGCGTGAAGGCGGTGCTGAAACGGTGCCTGGGGAAGAGGTGCAGACCAAGCCGTGATTCTCAAACGTGGGTCCAGATGGACGGGCCGAGCAAAACGGCAAACATCCAGTTAGTGTATCCACTTCCGTTATTGAGGGGGATTCTTGTGCTTTCGGTCTAATGCTGGAGGTCACGTGTGGTGCCTGAGTAGGGGTGGTAGGCGAATGCTCCAGACACCAAGTGTCGGAGCTGGCTGAGATGAAAGGGAGTGTCGGGCATTGATACCATCCGTACTGCTGACAGGCCACGAGGTGAATAGGGACATGTCGTGTCCCCACTGGCAGCTGCCCTCGCTGCATCACTGCGCGCCTTCTCGTGTGTACTTGTGTCGTCTGCGTCGGTAGGCATGTTGCAAGTATACATGCAGTTGTCCGGGCAGTGCTGCGGGCCACTCGGGTCCTGTGGGCGTCGTCAACCACACCGACGGTGGCTGGCGGCCAAATCAGACTGCGTGCAAGTAGCTCCGCCTCAACTTATACGTGTACCTGCCACGCAACGCTTCACCAGCCTATGTCTTTTTACATGTAGACGCGCGCCCGCTCGTCCCGTGTCCACCAGCTCTGGACAGCGTCTCAATTGCCACAATGCAGCGCAGAGTTGGCCTGAACGACCTCATTCAAGCTTCGGGAGTGACGCCCCTTGGCCAACGCCAAGCCATTCTACCCGCACCCACGCAGCCTGCCATTGTTGCCAGCCAAGAGGACCATGCACAGGCGCGAAACATTCTTCTGGAGCGCAGAGCCAAACCCGCCGAGAGCAAGAAGGGCTTGAAGAGCATTTTCAAGAGTTCAAAAGACAAGGACAAGTCCCCGGACGCCGCCCTCTTCTCCCAGGATGAGCTGGACCAGGCCTTGTCAGCCGTCATTCGCGACGCAACCACAGGCCCTGGCTTGATCCAGGCCTTCCTTAGCCTCGGGGCCAAGGTCAACGTCATCGAAACTCTGGACAAGAAGAAGAAGTCCGGAACCCAAGCCAACACCTCACTGCGCCGCCGAAGCACCGTCTTGCAGCAGGCCGCCAGCCTGCGCAAGGCAGATGGCGTCAATATTCTTGCCAGCTCTGGTGCCGACCAGACCACCTTGGACGAAGCACTCAAAGCCGCCCTCAGTGCAAACGACCATGCATGCATCACCGAGCTGTTAAGGCACGGTGCCAATCTAAACAACTTCCCAAACGCCCTCGCTAACGCTGTGCGGTCTAATGACCTTAATCTTGTCCGCCTTCTATTGCGGGCCCCAAAGCCTCTCCGTCCCGATATCATATCGTCATGTCTGCCTGCTGCAGTCGAGCAGACCTCCGACGCAACCATATCTCTACTCATCACATATGGTGCCGATCCAAACTTCGACACGGCAAGCGCCTTGAACATGGCCATTGGAAGACAGTATTACAAAGTCGCCGTTGCCCTGGTTGCCGGCCCTATTCGTCTGACTCCATCCAATCTGCAACATTCACTCGACACCACAATGAGGCTTCCCACACGTCAGGCAACTCTACAATTTCTCCAGCTTCTCTTCTGCTGTGGCCTACCTCCCGACAGCCGGGGCTTGTCCGATTTTCTCATCTGCGTCGTACGTGGTAATGACACTGCCGGTGCACGCATGATGATAAGCTACGGAGTCTCCACATCGACAAATGAAGCAGAGTGCTTACATGAGGCTCTGGCCAACTCTAATTGGGCTATAGTAGATGCTATCCTTCAGACTCCACTAGCCCAACAGCACGCAGAAGCTGCCCTAACGGCTCTGCCGCGTAACATGCCACAACCGGATAGATTCCGTGTAGCCAGTGCATTGTTACAAAAGGGTGTAAAAGGTCGCCCGCTCAGTCCACTACTTAACCAGGCCACTAAAGAAAGAGACTATAAGCTGATAGAGCTTCTTCTTGGAGCTGATGCACCAGTTGAATCGGGTCACGGCGGGGCTCTACACGCTGCCGTATTTAACAAGGACCTCCAAGCCCTGAAGTTGCTTCTTAACACACGGCCACCGCCCGAGTCTCTGGGAGAAGTCTTTAGGCTTCTACAAAACGGATTCACGGCATCTGAACGGCGTGACTTTTCTCGCTTGCTGCTCGAACATGGCGCACGTGGCCCTGGTGTTGACCACGCTCTAGTCGATGCCATCGCGGATACCTCTTCTACTCGAGACGGGGCCCTCATAACAGACTTGGTTCGGAAAGGCGCAAGCGTTGATTACGACAACGGCAGAGTATTTTCCCTGGCGGTTGCCCAAGCCGACATGTCCCTTTTGCGTCTGCTCTGCAACGCGAGACCCAAACCCTCGTCGACTTCGGCCGCCCTTCCCCTAGTGTTTGAATCACATGCTGGAAGACATGCTAAAGCGCTTGAGATCATTGAGTTATTGCTAAGCCAGGGAGTTGAGGAAGAACCAGCCGGTCGAGCCTTGCAACTTGCCATCAAAGGTGGCCCAAGCAACATCGACATTATCGAACGGATTCTTACTGCAAGCCCCAGCCTACTTAGTGTTGCGTTCAAACACGCCACTGCAATTGAAGACCCTCAAATGAAGGCCCCAATCCTAGACGCACTTCTGAAGCTCGGAATACCCCAAGAGTCCTTGGATCAGGCCCTCGCTGCTGAAGCACGGCACGCTGTCTCGACAAAGGACACAACTACTACCAAGCTGTTGTTGCGACAAGGTGCTTCTGTGAGTCACAACAATGGCGAGGCTTTGAGTGTTGCAGTGGCCTCGGGTGATAGCTCGCTAACGGCATTACTTCTCAGTGGGAAACACCAAGCATCGCGACCTAGTCTTACTCGGGCCTTCCAAACACTGTTTACTGACAAGAACCTCTCACTTGCCGAGAACAAGCAGAGTGTCGGTCAACTAGCGCAAGAGCTTCTCAACCGTGGTGTCGACCAACCCGCAATCGACGCTGCTCTACGTGCTGTTCTGAGCAGTGAGCATGACAGCAACAACACTGAGCCGCTGGTAGATCTACTGCTCTCTCACAATGCCGATGTCAACACAGAAGACGGTGCTTGCTTTGTACTTGCAACGCAAAAGCACAGTCACACCATATTTGAGAAGCTCATGCTTCACAATCCCCAGTTCAATGTCGTTGTCCCAGCGTTATTAAGCTCCAAATTGCAAGATGAAGTTGTCTTTTCGGCTATACAATCATGTTTTGATTCTGGATTCACAATTGATGACATGGCAACTGCTAACAACAAGGTGCCGGTTTTGATTACCGCCATGACCGTCTATCCACGCAATGCTGCTCTCATTACGCTTTTGCTCAGTCACGGTCTGAATCCAAATGTATCGGTTCCCACAGTGCTCCACCCGGCAGTTGGTCCGGAGACAGTCCCCGCACTTCACTGGGCGCTAGCTCAACCGCAAAAGCGGACCTCAGATGCCGTGATCTCCGCACTGATGGATGCCGGTGCTTCCGTGAGCGACATCTCGCCCGTTTCGGAAACGACGGTGCTTATGCTTGCCGCGCGGGAGGGACGCCATGGTATCCTGACTGCGCTACTAGAGCGAAGTCCAGACCTCGATGCCCGAGACAAGTGGAATAAGTCTGCACTGTTCTACGCCAGCGGTAGTCTATCTGGGGAAGCCTTGGTGAAAACACTAGCCCCACACACCGCAGGAAACGATGGTAGCATACACGAATCAGCACGAGAACTGAATGTCGAGGCTGTCAGAGCCCTGCTTGAACATGGCCACGATCCAAACTACCCTTCTCGACTCCATGGCGGCAGAAACGCCCTCGGCGAACTCTGTCTCAATGCCACTGTTACAACTCCCACCCACCGCTCCCGACTCCGCCAGGTAATCCGCCTTCTACTCTCTAACGGTGCAAATGCCAAATTCCGCGCCCGAAACGAAAAGTCTAGCATCATTCTCGCCCTCGACAACCCCTATAGCGCTCTCCCCATCACCGAAACCCTCCTCGAAACCGACATCTGGAAAGACCTAAACGACCCATCCCACATCTACCATGACCCAGCCTCTAATCTCCACTACTCCCCCTACTCCTATGTCGACCTCCTCCCAACGCCATCCCGCACCCCCATCCGCCCAGCCCTCCTCGACCTTCTCCGCGACAAAGCCTGCATCCCCGTCTACTATTCCTCCTCCGCCCTCCAGCCTGTCGGCGCGACCGGCCTCCCCGCCCCCATTGCCGCCCTCGTCGACAAGCAAAAAGACCACGACCTCAACATTCGTCACGAAAAGGAAAAATTCGAACACCAACGCTCCATGCACGAACTATCCCACAAGGACTCGTTGCGCCGCAAATCAGAAGCTCTAGACGCAGACCTCGCGCGCCAGGCCAAAGCAACAAAGCAATACACTCTGCTTGAGCAGCAAAAACACGAATTCGAAGTCCAGCGCCTGCGCGAGGCCGAGCGCACGCGCCGCGCAGAAAAGGCAGCCTGGCACGCGTTGCTCGCGGAGCAGGAGCGCGAAGCTGCCGCGCGCCGCGCAGAGGTCGAGGAGAGGAAGGTCCGCGATGCCATGAATGCCGAGCTCAAGATGATTGAGCAGCGCAAAATCGAGGTCGAGCATCGCGCCGCCGTAGAGCGCAACATGTTACAAGAGAAGGAAGAGTTTTATGAGAGAAATGTCAAGAGGCAAAGGGAGGTGAGGCAGATTGAGGGCGCGAATAACGGGACTGCCCAGTGGGGGACGGTTGATTAGTACCGCTTCCTTCCTCTTCCGTTTTTTTTTTCGGTTTATGTATATTGGAGTTTTTTTTTCTCCCGAGCGTTGAAGCGCATGTTTTTTTTCTTATCTCTCTCTTTCTGAAAAATGTTACACAGTCCCGGTTTGGCAAAGTTGGGCGGAGGAAAAAAGTTGATGGACAAATTAACAATCAGTCATTGATATCGTGATTCTTTTCAATATGTGCCTGAAACAGACACTCGTGTTTAAGCTTTCTACAGTGTGACCTTTTTTTTTGCAATCAAAAAAGGATGGGTATCTTCTATCTCTCTCTCTCTCTGTCTCTCTTCCGCAGCATAAACCAAAATAAAAAACACACACACTGCTTTTCAAACAAACCCCTTATATTTCTATCTTACCACATCAGATCCTCATCCTCGCGTATCATGGACAAAAACAAGACTTCCTCCTCCGCCTGCTCCAGCACTGCCTTGTGACTATGCGCACGCGTCTCCCATCCCAGCGTTACATGCGAGAGTTCGAGAGCCGAGAGCTTCGGTCGGGTAGAGACTTGGCTGTGAGGAATGCGGTATGTCAAGTCTCCGTCACCACCGGGGATTGGACTGGATGTTCTTGATGATGCTTCTATATCCTCAGACTCGTCGTCTTCGAGCCATAGGAGTTCGAGGGCGT